CGTCTAGATCTCGTAGAAGAAACATTTACGAATTGATCATTTGAATTTATCATACGAACATTTTTACTGGTGGTAGGACCTCTTGTGAGTCCGCGCGGGTGGGTACCACCACCCTGCCTATTTCTACCGTGAAGCAGTAATTCGTTTCGGCTTGAAGGGTGGAGCAGCCGTTGTAACTATACTTGAGATCTTAGAACTTATATCTCAGGGTGGGTGGCGCATTCACGTTGTCGATGTCTATGGGCTCCAGTAACCACTTAACACCAGGTGGGCTGTGAGCTCGTCCACCCATCTCCGCAAAAAAAAATTGATCTTGTACTTAAAGTTAGGTAAACGAAACTTTTAATTATAATAACTCATCGATGTTCTCAATGGAATTCTGTGGATCTTGTAAACGAATAAGTTTTGAATAGTTTCATTGTTTGCCTTATTGTTGACCCATAATATATGGCACTTTTCGAGTAAAGTGATTTTGTATAGGACAGAGCAGCAATTATTGATAATTAATGTTTGGAAATAAATTGTGGAGAATTAGGAATCAGTACTATTGCTCTTTCGTCCCCGTGAGCTCACCTACACGATAAGGTGAAACTGAAATAGCCTCTTAAGGTTATCAGCATAGGTAGGCGAAAAAAATGCAATTTTTTTTTAATTACTTTGCGCGGTTAAAAACACACAGACGCACAACACGCAGCTCCGTATGCGTGAAATACGTATGTGGGAGCGCTGAGCACTGAGCACTGTGAGCATTGAGTACTGGTGTACTCACTAAATTGTAAACCTCGTGGTTATATAATAATATTAAAATTGAAAGCATATGACTTGTTCTCAAAATCGTACATGCGATTTCTCATATTATTATGAAAGCTTGCTTGATACTATGATGCTTGGCTGTGACTCGTGGCTCTAGCATTGTATATGTCCATGAGCCACTTTAACCACTCAATATTATGTGAGCCGCATTCTCGTCTGCCAATTCATAGTCAGAAAAAATGTTTTGAAATAAATAAAAAATTGATTTTTGTGAATCTATACTAAAATAGCATCACTTACATCTACTAAGTCAGATATTTCATCGCATCATTTAAAGAATTCCCTGGCGTCTACCAAAGACGCATCCGATGCAGTAAACGAGTTAATCTCTAATTCAAACAATGAACGAAACGAATGATCAAAGCATTCCAAAACTGACCGTTTGAACAGCCATACCTTTCTGCGGTCACGCCAACGCGCGTACCTATGAAAAGATTGTGCGTCAACATACCAAATTCCACTACTTTCATTGAACATAATCGTAAATGTGTTTGGTTTTATATTAGGTACTAAACAGTAAATACGTAGAGAAAATTGAATAGATAACAAAAAAATTATACATTTTTATTTCGTAGGTCTAAAAACAAAAAGCATGGCACATATTTTTTTCCTACCTAAGCTGAGAGCCTTGAGAGGCTATTTCAGCGTAACCTTAACTAGTAGGTGAGCTCAAGGGGCTCAAACCTGACGACGTTGCTAACACGAACCCTAGTAAGAGTCGTGCTTCGCAGAATCTACCGCCGGATCGGAAACGCGACCCACTGAGAAGATCAGGCGAGAAACTCAGTGAGCTGTGTCTGAGGGTATGGCACAAGGGCGATAACGTCTCATACCTCAAAATAGGTAATTGAGCCCCGCCATCAAATGGTGTTTTATACTGCTACAGCGTCTTAAACAACAAAATATGAAGCGTTTTTATCGAATTTACAACACTTACAATACTTTTTCTCTTACAAAAGATAGATTCTCGACTGTATCGTGAGCTACGTTGAAAGCTCTAGGATGTATGTTAATTAATATCTAAACAATTAATGTTTAAGGATTTTTTCAAATATTTTTTTAGTAGGTACCCAATGCATTCGGAATGTTGCTGATATGTGCTTCCGATATGTCAAAGAACGCCCCTTCATTGATCATTGAGGTCACAGAGGGGAGTTTGAATAAAAAGCAATTACCTATACATGCATGTTACAAAGGTCACGCCTACATTGGAAACGTTGTATACATACACAAACACATACATTAAAAAAATACCCAAGAGACACTGAAAACCTATTTAGATCGACATTTCTCTTCGATTCATTATAAATAACGGACATACTTATTCACTGAATTAAAAACGATTTTTGGTAATGTGAGAATTTAGAGGGAACATTTATTTTTCGATGTAGAAAAGTAACAAAATACTAATTAACAAACTTTATCATACAAATTAGATAGCATTTTATTGGACCTCTTAATTGTAGACCACAGTCGTTGCAGAGCATCGTGTTATACGGAGACATTAAGTATCGCATTGAAATTTCAAATTGCCACATTTCTGATAGATAGGGTCTTATTTATTACTAGCTTTTGCCCGCGACTTCGTCCACGTGGAATAGTTCACAAATAGTGCTTTATTTTAGAACAAATTTGGTTAGCATAAAAAACGTTATAGTGAGCCCACCTTAACATATAGACATATGCTGTCGCGGACTTTTTTAAGATCTTTTAAAGGGGAACAATTCTGTCATACATTATTTTAGCGGAACTTTAACCGTTTCTGCAGCGCATGCAGCGGAAGCTCTCAAAAGGGAAAAAAAACGATTTTATATAGTTTAGCGTGATGTTATATAGCCTATAGCCTTCCTCAATAAATGAGCTATCTAACAATGAAATAATTTTTCAAATCAGACCAGTAGTAGTTCCTGAGATTAGCGCATTTAAACAAACAAACTCTTCAGCTTTATAATATTAGTATAGATTCGAAATTCCATGCGAACAACGTTACATTTATAGTTTAGTTCGCTAGCTTCTCTTGGAAATGAGATATTATACATTACAGATTTTTTAATAACATTTATTTAACGATCTTTATTGCGAATAAGTATATAGCTATTCAATATGAGCAGGGTCTCTCGATGACTCGTCAGGCAATTTGTTGAACGGCCCCAAATTACCGGCCGACTCATCCTGATGCAGGAAACGGGAACACGCGCGGAAATTACACAGACCTCGCCGAATCCTAATTTGTTTTCACAGTCGCGCTTCACGGGGCAAGGTCAGACGAGATCATGGCATTCGTTATGGCTTTATTGACTGTGAAATTACTTGAACAAGTTATTAAGCAGCTCTTTACTTTTTTTTTCTTGTTTCCTACCCTTAGCTCACTGAGAGCCTTGATAGGCTATATCAGCGTAACCTTAACTAGTAGGTGAGCTCACGGGGCTCAAAACTAACGACGTTCTAACACGAACCCTAGCAAGAGCCGTGCATCACAGAATCTACCACCGGATCGGAAATGCGACCCACTGAGAAGATCCGGCGAGAAACTCAGTGCGCTGTGTCTGAGGGTTAACACTTTACTTGGTGGTAGGAGGTATTGCGACTCCGTATGGGTAGGGACCACCACACCGCCTAGTTCTACCGTGAAGCGGTAATGCATTTCAGTTTGAAGGGTGGAGCAGCAGTTGTACTTGAAAAACAGATTTGTCAAGTTGTCAAAAACTCTTGTCTCAAGGTGGGTGGTGGCATTTACGTTATTAAAGTATCCCGTAAGCTTGTCCCCCCCTCTAAGTAATAAATATAATAAATAATATTGATGTTATCAGAATATTCTAAGACAGAGAAATTTAATCGTCGGCATCCGTGTGCTATCACATCATGACAATAAAAAAGCCATTACCAAATGTTTCACTAACTGAATCTAAAACTTACTACAACGCGATATCGAATCACTAAATCACATCAGCTTCAGATAATATCTGGAAATAAGACCAATAAACTAAATCGATGAAATTGAACTCCGTCGACCTTAGAATTAGAACGACGGCCGTTTACCTTTTCAAACCACAACACGGCTTACAAATTTACAAAACGAAATAAAGTTAAATTTGCGAGAAATAATTCCGGTTTGAAAACTATTTCGAATGTGTTTGAAGTGACAAATCGTCGGTGACCACGAAAACTGCAAAATATTAGAAACATCGGAAATCTATATATGTGCATATATAAAAATTAATTGCTGTTCGTTAGTCTCGTTAAAACTCGAGAACGGCTGGACCGATTTGGCTAATTTTGGTCTTGAATTATTTGTGGAAGTCCAGAGAAGGTTTAAAAGGTAGATGAATATGAAAATGCTCGGAATTAAATAAAAATAACAATTTTCTTTTTTCTTTGATGTGTCCCCCGTCGGACGGATTCCTTTTGTTTGTTTTAAGTTTATTTTATACAAAAGTTTAGATCTTTTATTTATCGATTGAGGCACTACAATGTCTGCCGAGTCAGCTCTTTTTTTTATTGCCTTTGTAGGCAGACGGGCATACAGTCCACCTGATGGTGAGTGGTTACCATCGCCCATGGACTTCAGCAATGCCAAGGGCAAAGCCAAGCCGCTGGCTACCGCTAAGTACTAATATATAAATCTATAGTGATTTTTACGGATGTTCCGTTATAACTACTGAACCGTGCATCCGATTGACTTGAAACTTGGTATCCATGTAGAAAATACATGTACTTAATGGATAGACTAATATTTATATTAGTGTTGTGTGTCCCTACACCAGTTGCGGGGGCGTTAATGATGAGAATCTTTGTGGGGGTGAGAAATAATAATGTTAATTATAAATGCCCAGCGAAGCGGACGGGTACAGCTAGTAATCATATAATAATATAATGACATAAAAAACCCGAGATTAAAACGTAAAAGTAGTTTTAATCCAAATCGGTTTTTTTTTTGTAATGAAAATATATATTCTTTAGGTATTGTAGATGAGAGTTAGTGTAACTAAATTAAAAAAAAAAATTAGGCTAAATGATAACAAAACTTATGCTGAAAAGATTCGGTGACTATCTGAAGGGGAACTATTTGACTGAAGTACCATAATTTCTATTTATTCACACGAACAATCAAACGGTTAATTTTATTTTATATTTTTAGACTAAGTTGCTTATTCTGTAACTTTAAGTTCTATTTTTCTTTGTTCCAGAATGTGGTGGACAATCACTGGCAACTTCGGGAACATCTTACCTATTGACTGGACCAAATCTTTCTCGAGGAAGATGCATATTCCTACATTAAATTTGAGTGATACAAAGGTACAAACACTTTCACACATTTGGTTTTCGTGTAGTAAGTGTTGCTCTCTGGCATTTTCATTCAGCGCAACCGAGAAATCACAAATTATTTTGAGTTATGACACTATTCGCAACAGAGCAATTCATTATTACAACTAATATATAACCTGTCTTTATGTCGCTAAGCGAAATTCCATGGCATGTTATCTTTTACCACTTCCTCCTTTCAGCGATCATCTCATTACTGCTATATTCACAAGGCCACAACTACTTCAGTCTTTTTCTATAGCCACATTGAACACTTTTATGGTTTCATGTATTTGATTTAACATCATAAAATTCCTATACCAAACTAGACATTTTCTAGTCCCTATAGACGAACAAGTGTACTTTATAAGTTTGTTTCGAGGAGTTTGCAGAGCCAATTATTATTTGCTTCTTGAAATTCCGCACTCATCTTCACTACATAGTATAAAACAAAGTCGCTTTCTCTGTCCCTATATCCCTGTATGCTTAAATCTTTAAAACTACGCAACGGATTTTGACGCGTTTTTTTTAATAGATAGCGTGATTGAAGAGGAAGGTTTATATGTATCACACATTAAATGGTGGAGAAATCAATAATAAATTACAGTTTCCGAAGCGAAGCGAGGGCGGGTCGCTAGTGAGATAGAAGTCCAATTCTCGATGCCAATATAAAGCCTAAACGCATTAACATTTCTAAACAAAACTAGGTAATCTCAGTCGCAAGAATAAACCCAAATTCATACTACGGACAGATATTGAATACCTCAAAAAACATATCTCTAACACTATATACGTGAAACATTGATACAAATGCGGTACTTGTGTGTAAAAGAGAAAATGTATAACTTTAATCAATAGCTAACACGCTGCAATGCGCATGCCTGTCAATCAATGTCGGTTTGTCTTTAACTAAGGTCTGTAAGTTCAAGACACTGATGTGAAAGTGTCTCGTGTAATATGATTACAAAATACGTAAATGCAATACCAATAGTTAACATGGATCGATATAATGAAACAAAATGCTAGGAATTGTACTGGTGGTAGGACCTCTTGTGAGTCCGCGCGGGTGGCCACCACCACCCTGCCTATTTCTGCCGTGAAGCAGTAATGCGTTTCGGTTTGAAGGGTGGGGCAGCCGTTGTAACTATACTTGAGACTTTAGAACTTATTCTCAAGGTGGGTGGCGCATTAGGTTGTAGATGTCTATGGGCTCCAGTAACCACTTTATACCAGGTGGGCTGTCAGATCGTCCACTCATCTAAGCAATAAAAAATAAAAAAACTTCCGAGGTGTCAAGGGACACCCGGATGGAACGAAGTTCCTTTCGATTAATTAGTGAAGGAATTGTAATTTTTTTTTAAAGTTATAATAATAAATTACTGCATGAAGAAGAAAAAAAATTACTATGAACTAAATTACTATTGTTGAAACGCTATCTCGAGAAACTGTACTTATTACGCGGACCAATCGGATATGAGCAATGTCACGCGATAAGCGCCTACACGTTGATTGGTCAGAATGACGGATCTAAAAAGTGTCGTTACAACTTTTCGTAAGAATTTTTCCGTCTAGCCCCCTTTCACAACGCGCGATAAGGAACTTCGTTCCAAAAAAATGTGCTACATTTTTATCACTTCAATCTTACAGTATTCAAATTCCTAATCGGAGATTTTAATGGAATCATTTCTGCTGTTAAATTCTTTGAAAGTAGGTTTATTCGTATAAAAACAGTTTAGATTTTGGTAAAAAAAAAACAATGTAACAAACAAAACAAAAATAATGTTAATCATGTATTGTTAAGTATAGTATATAAAATGCTTTATGAATACACAAATAGATTTGATTGTCGTTTAGGATATTCATTAAGGAATCGTTGCCGAAATAATACATCCCTGCACACGTCCTGCATAACTATTAACATAATTTCATTCTGTAACAGCAATGATTCACGTTCGCAGTGCTCCACGATCCTGATGTCTCGTTATCTCTATTAATCGCGACTCCGATCCGGTAGTAGATTCATTCGCGAAGCAGCTGCTCTTGAGTTGTCAGGTCTCCTTCGAAGGCGCTCGGGTAGCTGTTAGCAAATCCCACCCCTCCTGGCTGAGCGTTTGCTCGCCCACCTGTCCTGGTGAAACTGGAAAGGCCTCCGGGACAATAGTAATCCTTCAATCCCACAAAAAAAAATCTCTATTAATTGTGACCCGAATGTGGCTATCTATTCTAGATCTAATTAATTCAATGTATACCGTACGAAGCTAAGTTAAAGCTTTACAGAAACTGTTATCTATGTATTAATACGTGAAGCAAAAACTTTGTATCTCTATTTTTACGAAAATTGCGCGGACGGAGGAGTATGAAATTTTCCACACTTATAGAGAATATAGAGGAGAAGTGCACAATGCTAATATTTTTTTAAAAGAATGCATAAAAGATACATTAAATCAATAAAGAAAACATTACACACACTACATACCATGTAATTGACGCACACACGCATCCATACTATTTATTGTCAAACTTTTGTTCTTGACGTCTTTTGTCAAATTGAGAACAGATTAAATATTGTTTGTCTTTGTTAATATTTTTTATAGTGTAGTCTTGGCGAAATTTGTGATTATAAAAGTATAAAATACAATCATAACAGTGTAAAAACTTACAATTCCAATTGATTATAGTCGAATTTCGACTACTGCGGGACCTCTAGTAATACGAAAATCGCTGCACTATTGTATACATCGCTCGATTTCGCATTTAGAAGAAAAAAAAAATACAAAGAAAAAAGTTTTCCCAGAGGCCCGTCTCGTCCCGCCCACATCACAAGTGTCACACCGATAAAAGAGTCTTTGAAAGATTCCTCTTTTGTTCTTTTTGTAGTTGATCGCACGGTGCTTGCGTCAGAAGAATGATGGTATCTATTGTGCCATGAGAAGCGTTCATTATTTTCGTTGTCATTAGAAGATTGTACAGAATAGTAGCAATCTTAAAATTTTATGCGAATGTTGAGGAATCGTAATGTACATTTTTAAAAATATTTTATTTAATTTCAGTGTAAATCTAATCTGGAAAATGAATGTTTGTGCCTGTTTGTCTCTTGTATGTAATCGCTTATATGTTGACACATTTAAGTGATTAACTTAATATTTTGGGCCGTTGTTGTTATCACTCACGGGAGGTTTCTAGTACAGTACCTTTATGAGCACATACAATTGTGAAACAGAATATAAAAGCAGGGTATAATAATTCAACCTCATGTCTCAACGCGGACAGCACCTTTCATGTTATGCTGGAGTGTCTTCGTCAATCGTTTAACACTGGGCGAGGGCTAAGAGTCTCTGAACTGAGAAATGGATTGAGCCATAACCAATCCTATATTTGGATTGTTGATTTTATTTAAATTCTCTTTATATCTTTAAATATCCAGCCACTAGGGAGTGCTAATCGAAACATATCCCTTCCAGATTTCGTTGACTCCGGATGACGAGATCCACAGCTCAGAAGACGAGGCTGTCGCCTCAGACTTGGACATGCACGCCCTTATCCTGGGCGGCCTTCATCAGGACCACGAGTGCCCTGTCAAGACTGCTGACGAAGTGAGTTCTTTTTGTTTTCTACCAATGCTGATAGCCTTGAGGGGCTATATCATCGTTACTGAACGAGTAGGTGAGCTCGTTCAAACCTGGCGAAGTTGCTAACACTGGCCTTAGCAAGAGCCGGGCTTCGCAGAATCTACCACCGAATCGGAAACATGACCCACTGAGAAGATCCGGCGAGAAACTCAGTGGGCTGTATACTCGTCGAGCCCTTAGTCGCAAAGGACGGGTTCGACGGCTTCGACGAGAACGATGACCGGTGCTTGAGGTTGAGTTCTTTTACGAACGTAAGAAAACCTTCACTCGCCAAAGCTTCCAAAAAATTCGCTAATTGTAAATATTAATGATCAAATAAGTCGTGCGGAAGAAAGGGAGCTTATTATGGAATAATTTGGTAGTTAATTATCATAGTTGTTCTTATATCTTATTCAATAAGAGGGTAATTCGTTTCAGGTGATTCAAGAAATAGACGATATGATGCAAGACACTCCGTCGTCGGAGGGTGAATACATAGAGTACAACGAGGCACTCGAGAAAGGCAAGGAGGTGCTCAACTCCCCCCTCTATGAAGACAGTAAGTACTTGCTATTGAACGAAGGACCAACATCAGACTTCATCCCACCGATACACTTACAAAAAAAAACGTCGCGTCACTTTATCGTGTTGGTACATATTTTAAAATAAATGCGTCTCCATTACTTTGTTAAATTCGTGCAACACGATAAAACTTAACAAAAATTATGGAACACAACATAAATTTAATTTATTCAGATGAAAAGCAGCTAGCTAGTAAACGATAGCAGCGATATAAAACGCGGTATTTTAATAGTACTCAAATTCGTTAATTACGTGAAATGATAAGAAAACAACAAAACAATGGTTTTTAATTCGAATAACGCTTTATAAATACACTCAAAGTCATCGATACTGGATCCCATCAAAATCGGACGCGCAAATTAGAGAGTGCATTCACCTCGCCCGGTTTTGTTTTCATAACCCCTTGACGGTAAAGCGCTACGTTAGTTTGTTTTTGTTGCAATCCATCATGCGCTAAAAGAAACAGACCTGCGATGAGTTGCTCTAGATTAACGTATAAGATACTTGGGCATACATCGCTAATTAGCTTGGTTTTTTATGAACTTTTTTTTTTTCCTACTACTAATCGTTGGCAGCCTCAGGGATTATTCTAACTAGGGGTAAATGAGCTCACGGGGCTCTCAATCTGAAAGAATTACTAACCTAGGCCTAGCACGAGCAGTGCTTCGCAAAGTCGGGTCAGAATTGCAACCTAATAAGAAAATCTGTCGAGAAACTCAGTTTATGTAGTGGAAGGACCTCAAGAGTTTTTTTTTTTTCTAACCCATGCTGATACCCTTGAGAGGCTATATCAGCTTCACCGTAACGTGTAGGTGAGCTCACGGGGCTCAAACCGGAGTGGTGCTAACACTGGCCCTAGCAAGAGCAGTGCTCCGCGGGTATATTCATTCGCGAAGCAGCTACTCTTGAGTTGTTAGGTCTCCTTTGGAGGCGCTCGGGTAGCTGTTAGTAAATCTCACCCTTCCTGGCTGAACCCTTGCTCGCCCACTTGCCCTGTTAACAATGGAAAGTCCTCCGGGCCACCAGTAATATCTCGAACATAAAAAAAAAATTACGTGCAATTCACACGTGGTAGAAGTGAAACCTTCCAAAATTAAAATACAATTATCCTAAACGTCTTAAGTATATGTAAAATTTTGTCATTAGTAAATAATTGTAAAGTAGCGCCCTCTGTGAATTGATATTTTAATTTCAAGTATAATCCTAAATTAAAATTCACTACAAGAGCTTTCATACACACGTTAGTATTAAAAAATCTCACAGATGGCGCTGTATTAAATAGTATGTATATTTCTGTCTCATTCTTTGCTGGCTTCATCCTACACATTTTTGTATTTGTGTCTCTTACCTGTCGTTTTTTCCGTTGCATCCGGTTTGAAATCACAACGATTCTAAAGAAGTTTTCACTTCAAAAAAACATGACTAAAACTCCTTTTACTATTTATTCTAGTTTATTTCTGTTGTCATTACATAATTTGCGACGTTTCGAATTTATGTTTTACAGTTTTAAGTTAACAGTTTTCTTGGTCACGGACGACGGTCAACGTAATGTATCTCGGTGGACTGGTGCTTATTAATAAATAAAGTTCAATATTAAGTGGCCCGGACTCTTGTGTTATGACGTTATGTTTCTGTACTATGACGTACACATATGAGACAAAAAACCTATCGCATACCTAATAACAATAGAGCCTGTGGCACTATAAGTGTCACTACCCACTAGATCAACGAGTCGATCACAAATAAAATTTTAAAGCACGACCTAATATATCAACAGTTACAAAATGATTAATTAACGCTCAGATTCTAGTGGGCGGTGTCCGTGTAATTCATACTGTTTAATAGTGACACAATTACGATGACTGGTGGTCCCGCAGTAGTCGAAATTCGACTATAATTAATTGAAATTATAAGTTTGAACATTATTATGGTTCTATTATCAGAGACTATTTATTATACTTCTCTAATCACAGATTTCGCCAAGACTACACTTTAGACAAATATTAACAAAGACAAACAATATTTAATCTATTCTAAATTTGACCATAGACTTTACGCAATAAGAAAAGTTTGACAATCTATACATATAAGTAAAATTGGAGTGTCTGTTTGTAATATTGAAATAACCGCCTTTTACTACATGCATATGAATATATATACGGCACATACACCAAAATAGCATTTTTTACAAATTTTGTCTGTCTGTCTGTCTGTCTGTCTGTTCCGGCTAATCTCTGAAACGGCTGGACCGATTTTGACGGAACTTTCACTGACAGGTAGCTGATGATATAAGGAGTAACTTAGGCTACTTTTTTGTAGACTAGCTTCGCCCCACGGCGTCACCCGCGGTACGACAATAACCGCGGGTAACATCGCGGGACTCAACTATCAATAATAAAATTTAATGTTTTGCGAAGCGAAGCGAGGGCGGGTCGCTAGTAAACAAATATAATAGTGTAAATACCACTATATTATTATAACTTTATTATACTGTGTATCTAAATCTATTGTAAAAAAAGTAAAGTTTGAAGTCGTCGTGGCCTAAAAGATAAGGCGTCCGGTGCATTCGTGTTGAAGCGATGCACCGGTGTCCGAATCGTGTCGTACCAATTTTTCTAATGAAATACGTACTCAACAAATGTTCACGATTGACTTCCACGGTGAAGGAATAACATCGTGTAATAAAAGTGAAACCCGCAAAATTATAATTTGCGTAATTACTGGTGGTAGGACCTGTTGTGAGTCTACGTGGGTAGGTACCACCACCCTACCTATTTCTGCCGTGAAGCAGTAATGCGTTTCGGTTTGAAGGGTGGGGTGCCCGTTGTAACTATACGGAGACCTTACAACTTATATCTCAAGGTGGGTGGCGCATTTACGTTGTAGATGTCCATGGGCTCCAGTAAGCACTTAACACCAGGTGGGCTGTGAGCTCGTCCACCCATATAAGCAATAAAAAAAAACCCTATTTATTTATTTATGTACACACAAAAAAGAAGACAGTACAGAGTAATAGGAAAATTATGTACAAAGGCACTGCTTATTTCTTTGCTGGAACAGCAGACCTGCGAGAGGATTATGAGAAAAATAATTAAAAGTGATGAGTGTGTGTAGAACAGCTAAAATAAAAAATACAACACGAGAATTATAGTAATGCACATACACATAGCAAATATAGTTAAACTTGAATACAAAATATTATAAGTAACACAGTATATACGAAGAGTATAGAACAATGATCATTCGGTTGATGAGATTATTATTTTCTACTAGCTGACTCGGCAGACTTCGTAGTGCCTCAATCGATAAATAAAATACCTAAATTTTTGTATAATATAAACTTAAAACAAACAAAAGGAATCCGTCCGACGGGGGACACATAAAAGAGAAAACAAAATTGCTATTTTTATTTAATTCCGAACGTTTTCATATTTATCTACCTTTTAAACCTTCTCTGGACTTCCACAAATAATTCAAGACCAAAATGAACCAAATCGGTCCAGCCGTTCTCGAGTTTTAGCGAGACTAACGAACAGCAATTCATTTTTATATACTTAATATAGATTATTATTTTCGAACAGAGCTGCGCGCATTATCTTTAGCTCAATTAAACGAGATCTTCATGGAACTGGAGGTGCTGATCCGGGAATTCTCCGAGACCTTGATAGCGGAACTCGCTCTGCGGGACGAACTCGAGTACGAGAAGGAAATGAAAAACACTTTCATATCACTCCTGCTGGCCGTGCAGAACAAACGCAGGCAGCATTACGTCGAGAAGAAGAAGAGGCCAGGGGCGCCACGCTCGCCGAACCTCACCAGCAACAGCTCCAAGCCGAAGGTACTTTTTTTTTAAGCTATTGCATAGATTTTATCGCGGGTTTTGAGCACGGCGACTGAATCAAGAAATTCCGTAACGAAAATAACCTGACACCCCCACTACGCCTACTATATATTTTAGCTCGCGTTCAACACATTCACACGTTGCGCTTGTGTAGTGTTTGTGAATAAGCGCGTGGCGTGATGTCACACTGCATGCGCATCATGAAAAGTCTGCCCATTTCTCTCTCACACGGTCTAGCTCATGAGTGTGAAGGGGACAGTTAATGTTTTGCTTTTATTAATGTTTAACATAGCGTGGTCTTGTTTTATTATTGTTTTAATATTAAATTATCATTGTCCCGAGTGCCACACTTTTTTTTTTATTGCCGTGTAAGCAGACGAGTATACGACCCACTTGATGGTGAGTGGTTACCGTCGCCCATGGAGGTCAGCAATACCAGGGGCAGAGCCAAGCCGCTGCCTACCGTTTAATACTCTCCACAAGCCTCGTTTGAAGAAGGACATGTCATAACGCTCGGGAAAAACCGTGGAGGGGAGCTCATTCCATAGCCGTATGGTACGTGGCAAAAAAGATACTTCATCAAGACATATTACACGTCATTACGGATCCTCCCGATCTGTTAACGGTGCTTTTAGGTACCACAAGCACCGGTCACCGTCCTCGTCGAAACCGTCGCTTGCGACGAAGAGCTCGACGAGCGAATTAGCCGAAAGACACAGCCCACTGAGTTTCTCGCCGGATCTTCTCAGTGGGTCGCGTTTCCGATCCGGTGGTAGATTCTGCGAAGCACTGCTCTTGCTAGGGCCAGTGTTAGCAACACTCCAGTTTGAGCCCCGTGAGCTCGCCTACACGTTAGGGTGAAGCTGAAATAGCCTCTCAAGGCTATCAGCATAGGTAGAAAAAAAAAGATTTATATGTAGAAGCTATTAACCTATCGATACATATGTATAATATATACATAAAAAACATACTTTTTTTATTGCTTAGTTGGGTGGACGAGCTCACAGCCCACCTGGTGTTAAGTGGTTACCGGAGCCCATAGACATCTACAACGTAAATGCGCCACCCACCTTGAGATATAAGTTCTAAGGTCTCAGTATAGTTACAACGGCTGCCCCACCCTTCAAACCGAAACGGATTACTTCATCACGGCAGAAATAGGCAGAGTGGTGGTACCTACCCGCGCGGACTCACGAGAGGTCCTACCACCAGTAATTCAACCATCTTTCGCCCACCAGACGTTATTAGACCTCAATCCACGTTGAAAATAGTAGATAATGGATTGTTCTAGTTAAGCAACCTGTTGTAGGGGTGGCACCCAGCAAAATCTAATAATCTAATTCTCACTTGCCCAATCAGACTTTATAATATTAAATCCTGTGACGTCACTTTTCTTTTACAGTACTTGACCACCGTCATACCATTCCACTTGGATAACGGACCACCGGACAACCAATCACTTCAAGTACTCATCAAAAGTAAGCCATAACTACATAGATGATGACCTTTATACCTTAAGTTATGTCACTTCGTATAGATGGGTTACCGTGTTTCGTAAACACCAGCAAAGCCAAGGACCTCAAAGGATCCCACCTAAGCTTCGACCGAATAAGGACATAGTACTGTATAAATAATACATAGTTGACCGAAATTTAAAAAAAAATACTACAGAAATAAATAAAAATCATAAAAGCATAAAACATGCAAAACTGCTTTTTTTTATTGCGTGTATTTGTGAAGGAGCCCTAACCCACATGATACTATATGGTTCGTTCACCCATAGACGTTATAATGTCATGGGTTCAAATCCAATCTTGAGACATGAGGTTCAAAGTCTCAATTGTTGCAACGTATGTTGCAGTTTTTTTGCACCGGTCGATAAAAGCCCTCTGCCTATTTCTGAGAAATTGGTGATCACTGGAAAGGTCGAGGGCAAGCGACCAAGAGGCAGGAACCCGACCCGTTGGACGGACCAGATTGGTGCAGCCCTGGTAACCACAGTGCACGATGCTCTGCACTCAGCTGCAGATAGGAACAGATGGTGGTGCATTATAAAAAACAAAACAAGGCCATGACCACGACCCTCAGTAATGAGGAAACCGACGCAAGGAGGAGGAGGAGCCTATTTCTGTGGAGATTCGATAATCAGAACAAAACATAATATCGAGGGGTGAAGAAGATTAGGTTTAGCGACATTTTTTCAACTTTACAGGAGAGCCATTTAAAGTTTGAATTTGGAAAAAAATGTTATAACAAAACTTTTTCACACTATGCGAATGGGATAAACTTAATTGAAGTTCAATTAAAAACATCAGAATTGTTGATGCTAATACCAAATAAAACGGGCCTTTAATTACAAAGATATATGTTGCTTAAACTATAAAGCCTGTCACCTCTCGATATCGTGAATGGCTGTTTTTTGTTAAAAGAATGAAGTGGTATTCTCGTGCATTTTTAAGCTGCTTCATTGTTTCAGTACTGAAAGCTATAAACGAAGACAGCCCCACCGTGCCTACTCTACTCACAGACTACATCCTGAAGGTGTTGTGTCCAACATAAGCGAATAACCAACATAGTTAAGTACACGCATCCAACATTTCAACGTTCGCACATTATATCACTAAACGAAATTTAAATATATTTAAAAAAATATTTTTTTTTTTTTTTAGATCATAATATCATAGAATTTTCACGTAAAATATTTGAAAGCACATATAAAAAAAAATTGTATTCGTAGTACGTAAATTCGTTGTATGTCAACGTGGCGACATCATAACGATTATAAAAAATATATATATACATACCTGAAGTTTGCGTAATTTTTTTGCTAACAAGCAATTTGCGACTTTAACTTCTACGAGTTACAGGTTAAATTGGTTTCCGTGGAAAATTCGAGCGTAAAACTCGGAAGTCCTAAATTAAGTATGTTGGAAAAGGTTGTTTATCTTGAAACATTTAAGTCGAAATTGCCATAACATGTATTTTTTTGTTTTGTTTTTATTATCCTAAACGAAAAATAGAATTTTATTGTATTCAAGAGTTAAATATTAATTTGTTTTTGCATAAATGAACTGTGATATCATTACGGTAGTTTAATTAAAGCTCCATTAATTTTTCAATATTTTTATTCTTAACTATTATTATCATTCGTTTTTTTTTTTTTCGTTCGTTGTAAGGACGTAATTTATTATTGCATAGCTATTTTCTTATATGGGCTTGTTCGCGAATGTGAAATTGTAAATATTTTTTAAAATTTTTAATCTCAATATGGAATTGTTTTGTAATTTCTTATCAATCACTAAGGCGAGCACTGTAAATATAATCAGCTTATAGTAAATTCCAGATTGTACCTAAAACAATATCGTTGGCCAGTACAAACAGACGCCATTTTAAATACGTCTGGAAATTTCTTAGCTATTTTTTGTTTTAAAACATCGAATGAATTTCAGTTATATTCTATTAGTTTATAGTAATTTCAAAACAAACAATTTTGAAACGATATTCGTTTTAAATTTATGTATCTAGTCTCGTGATGTCTTAGTCATAATTTTGTTAATGTGTAACGAAAGTAATAATAAAGAGAAAATTGAAAAAAAAATAAAAATAAAAAAAGAAATTATTTTTTAACGTTAAAGAATAGATTATGAAATTTGACTATTTATTTTGCATCGCCATTTTAGCACGCAATTAAAAATCTATTTGAGATTTTCAAATTTCGAACGGTCGAAGGCTTCATTAAAGATTGACTATAATTCTAAAAGCCCGTGGCAAAAAGTTTGAGGGCCAGGGAAAACGTGTAATATTATACTTTCCCTGGCTACAGAGTTCTGGAATCGCGATGTCAAAATACAGTCCTTATTATAGTTTAAGTTTAACTCGCGGGACGCTATGAAGCTTCTAGCACATTTAATAGTTTAATAATGTCCAACTCAAGACAAGATGATTACGATCAGGTTCCGTATAATGTTACTACTGTCAAAATGCCATTTCGACTTCCATTGTGTGAATATGAATAAAATAATATGTTATTAATGTTTCCAAATTTTGACTAAAACAAACTGTCACTGTCAAAATCAACTAACGTCAAAGAAGTTTAATCGAAAACTTCAAAAAATATATATTTTGTTCGATGAAAAGCTACGTAACAAAATCGCACAGATGACGATAGATTTGTATGGACGAATTAGATGGTCGAGTCATAATCATGAATTATAGTGAAATTACACATTAAGTGAAGAAGAATGTATTTGCGCTACCGCTTAGCAATAAGTCTCTTTGTGAAGATGGTACCTGGTTGAAATAAAAGAGCTTGGATGATAGTAGTATCGTATTTTAATGACCTTATTACGGAAAATACGCACCTTGCGCCTGTGAAACTTTTAACATTAGTCACAAATACGACAACCAAGTACAAAAAATCAATTGTATAATCTGTCTATGAGCGTATCTATGGTTATATCGAATTCATTACTTTATCAGGAACACCCGCTGTTAATAATATTGTTGTTAAACTAATGTTGATATTAGAAAAAATCTATTTAGGAATATTTATTCATTTATTATTAAAACTAATGTTGATTAATTAATTAAATTTAACCATAGACACGCTTATAGACAAATAGTACAAAATTTTCGAGATCGCAAAATACAATAACTTCAGTCATCAAACTCACTAGTCACTAGTGGGCAATAGTAATCCTTCCATATTGCATTCCATCGCACAGTATTATTTTATTCGGGATTTGCTATTCACTTCGTTTCGTATCTCTAGTTTCGTCTGCTACCACAGCCGAACCCGGGGTCAGGGTTCGGTAAGTGCCCTAAGATGCATTAGGTCTCGGGTATTTTGGACATTCCGCGGGTCTTCTTCCGACGAATATCTCTCGGGGACTTCAGCTGCTGTAAGGGCCGTCGATTATTCTAAACTCCTTGGCGATTTCAGGTAAATAACGTTTACTTTTTGATTCCTTTCCAACGATTAAGCGTCTGCTCTCCGTCTCCGAGAATCTGATTATAAATCGGTCGAGACTCTTCCAGACGTAGACGGAAATGGTCCCCAGGATCGCCTACCGCTGAGCATTAAGGGGATTTTTATGGGTTTTAACTAGCGTATAACATACCGTGGGAGGTAATCCACGTACAGCGATAATAATGCTCCGACCGGCGTCGGTATGTCATCAGTACATAGCACGAAGGTTACACTATCAGGTACACTGTCACCGTTCTCGACGAACCCGTCGAATGCGACGATGGGCTCTGTGAGCAAATATAAGCTCACTGAGTTTCTCGCCGGATCTTCTTTCTCATTGAGTTACGTTTCCGATCCGGTGGTAATTCTACAAAGCACTATCCTTACTAGGGCTAGTGTTAGCAATATCTACAGGCTAGACCCTCGTGAGTTCACCTACTTGCTCGGTGAATCTAGAATGACTCCTCGAGCTCACTAGAATAGGTAGGAAAGAAACCCTGACTTGGATCTAGAGCTAGAGCGAACCGTGGAGACGGCTTCTATTCGAACCCTAAGGCGTTCTACCACAACTTAACTGTACAAGTAGGCCGTGAGCTCGTTCACCATACATAAAATAAAATTTCAGGTTTTAAGCGATCACCAAAATACTTAATATTTACAAAAAGAATGGAATACCACCGGCTATTTTAAGACACGTCTTTCACTGTTGATCGAATCATACCCGATCCTGTAGACCGAATGGTAAACAGTCGACGACGTCCAAAATACATCATTACAGATCCTCCCGCTCCATTAACAGTGGTTTTAGGTACCACAAGCACCGGTTACCGTCCTCGTCGAACCCGTCACTGGCGACGAAGGGCTCGACGACCGAATTAGCCCACAGACACAGCCCACTGAGTTTCTCGCCGTATCTTCTCAGTGGGTCGCGTTTCCGATTCGGGGGTAGATTCTGCGAAGCAATGCTCTAGGGCCAGTGTTAGCAACACTCCGGTTTGAGCCCCGTGAGCTCGCCTATACGTTAGGGCGAAGCTGAAATAGCCTCTCAAGGCATCAGCATAGGTAGGAAAAAAGTCGATCGAAGCTCCATTTAAGTTCATTACTATTTAGTAGTATTTTAGTGCTGTTTAGCAAGACAGTTGAAATTCTGATTAGTATTTTCTGATTATTACGTAATGATTAAGTCAAATGTGAACAGGGCATTCCTGAATCAAATAATTTGAACAAAATGATAGTTCATTTCAACGTCAATGATAATTTTAAGAAACTAAAACACTTGATAAAAAAAATATAACATTTATTTCTTCGACCAGGTACATATATACATAGTTACTATATAATTATATATTTAAATTAAATAGAACATTTCATTCAGTCTATAAATAATTTCATACGATTCTTCTGTTTTTAATATTATTAATTGTGGATAAATATTTTCAGTAACGCTGTTTGGCACTGATATTTTCAATTATCATCACAAGTAAAAAAATTATGCGTCCAAGTATTTTAAGAGTGTATTTTTTTCTTTAGCTTCGTCGCTGACTAAAGTTTCACTTACATTTACTTCTGGCATGAATAGGCAATGTTGTTGAATGGAACTTGACCTAGAAAATACAGTAAAACTTTAATTAATAAATAAATTTCATTTATGGGCATTCTGTGGAAGGCATTGGGGAAGGCCTATGTCCAGCAGTGGGCAGATAAAGGCTGATGATAATGATGATGATGATGATTTATGGGCGTTCGATGTCTTTCTGTTATACTTAATGTCAGTTCGGGGGCCGATTAGGGAGCCTCAAGAATACTACGTGTAAGTTGCTCTACACGCGCGAAAGAGAAACCTTGTCTTGGTGAGCAGCGCTCTAACCCACCTCACTGCCAAGAGTGGTCGGGGTCCGGTGCTAGTGAGACCAATGACCGCCGGTCAGTCTTCCTGCCTGGGTAGGAGGTGGAACAGATACGGTCCACGCTATGCAACCCAAATTGTTTACCTCAGTTGTATCACGTAAGGTTTGGAGAGAATGATCGAGTGACAGAAGATTTTAGTTGGTTCAACACCGATACGTCCCGTTTATCGCCTCAAACGAGTAAGCGGAAGTCTGGTAATTCCTTCCTGGCCCAAAAATCTGACAAGTGGAAGCTCTACCAGCGTAAGGACATTACTGCCCATATAAATATATATAACAGTAGCAAATAAATATAGGCAGTGCCTTGGTTGTGCCCCAGTATTACTGATGTCCATGAATAACGGTGACTTCCATCAGGTTAGCTATATGCTCATCTGCCTACAACAACAATATAACATTTATAATTATTATGAGTGNTGGCCCAAAAATCTGACAAGTGGAAGCTCTACCAGCGTAAGGACATTACTGCCCATATAAATATATATAACAGTAGCAAATAAATATAGGCAGTGCCTTGGTTGTGCCCCAGTATTACTGATGTCCATGAATAACGGTGACTTCCATCAGGTTAGCTATATGCTCATCTGCCTACAACAACAATATAACATTTATAATTATTATGAGTGATAGCTGCTCTCTTTGGAAAACACACTGAAACAGCCAGAACATAAAATCAATTTGGTTATAGCTGATAGTGATTCCAGTGTATAGATTTAACAAAATACTGAAAAGAAAAGTCGCTGTCGCTATTTCGTGATATACCTTATTTCAGTTCAGTTTATAAATGCTGGCGGATGAAATTGTTGAAACTTGTAACTCTGGCGAAAGCAGATGGGAATCCGTCCTGGCATCTGTTCTGGGCTACGAAAGAACTGATACCGATCTGAAAAACAAAATTATCAATTAGAGTCGCTGCATAACCCAAGGAAGGACCTCCGGGATTATAAGTAGTTACAATGAATATGGCCAGAAAATCACTGTGTTAGTACTTATGAAATTCAATCGTTGTAAATTGATTAGTGGAGATTGGAGCAGATGCTCTATCTCTCGGAACGTTACTTCGATAACGCTATGCGTCATGAAAATGGCCTTATCGTTGCCGCCGCTGACTACTCCCCGAATCCTGATCATGCAGGAGCCAGTCACCGTTGACGCCTTAGACACGTCCTTACAGATCCATCAGATTCAATAAACTTTGCATTAGACGCCTTCAGCTCTGACGCGAAGAGCAGGCTTACGGACCCCGGTAACCGTACTCGTCGAACTCGGCAAAGAGTTCCACGTGCAACCTAACCCATGCAGCAGCCCACTGAGTTTCTCGCCAGATCTTATCACTGGGTCGCGATTCCGATCCGGTAGTAGATTCATTCTCAAAGCAGTTGCTCTTGAGTTGTTAGGTCTCTTTTGGATGCGCTCGGGCAACTGTTAGCAAATTCCATCCGCCCGGGCTGAGCCTTTGCTCGCCCACCTGTCCTGGTGAAACTGGAAAGGCCTCTGGGCCACCAGTAATCCCTCATTCATAAAAAAAAGCATTTATTCCTTGGCTGCCCATGATTGAAATGGCCACGGTGTCTCAGTAAGTAACAGCTCGACAATGAGTAAAGTAACGTACCAAAATTTAAATCGATTTCATTACTCCATATTTTTTCTCGTATTTCGTAATACTATGTGTACCATTATGTGCAATACCGTCTTTACCATAAGGGCACACGGGGCCCGTGCCCAGGGTCCCCATTCTCAGGGGGCCCCGAAGGACCGACAATTTCTCTCACACATTTATTCTTAAAACATTTTTGTCGGGCACATTACACTTTTTTCACAAATCAGTAATCTTATCAGAAGGAATTATTTACAAGGCATAGGTATACTACGCCATTATATCGATGACTGCGCCTATTCCTACTGTACTAACATGGAGGGTAGAGGTAAGGAGTACCGTCTCTGTGTGTAAAAAGTGTCCGTTAAAATCTGCTAAATAAGGGTGGCGCTGCAGTAGCAACCGGGTAAATTAAAAAAAAGGCGCTGAAAGTTATTAGAATAAGATAGAGAAATAAAAAAGGACGAAAGAACTGTAGGCACTACAAAATCGCAAAAAGTATTTTATTTAAAGCTGATAAGAAAATGCAATCGATGTCTCCACGTTTTACCACAGTAGATAATAATTTTAGATTATATTGATGAAATTTGTTTGGAAGCCGTTATCGTAATCGTAACCAAAAAATCAGCAGCATTCTAATATCATTAATGACATATTAAATCATACTGTATTTGATTACCTTTATTAAATGGTCATACTCAGTAAAAAAATGTTATTAAAATTCGCTCTTTTTACTTTCCAAAAGGGCCTCAAATTCTTGTGTGCCCAAGGGCCCTAGCCTAGTTTAAGACGTCCCTGATTATGTGCCTCCATTAGTAACTGTTCCTTCGTTTCATTGTTTACACTTTACAAATATTTAGTGTAATTAGCAAATACTTACTAAGGTTAGTACACCATTACGGTTCAACAAAAGTGGTCCGCCGGAGTCTCCGCGGCAAATACCGACACCGCCAGCTCCGTTCGTGCAGATGTTTGAGTTCCTCACGAAGTTGCTACCGAAAACGGCCATGCACTGTTGCACTGTGATCACTTGCAGGTTCACTTGGCTCATCACCTGATTTACCGAGATACCAGTTTGCGCTGGAAGGAGATGTAATGTTTTTATTTCGATTCCATTTCATCCATTGATAGCTAATGCCAACCGTCCTGCGACATGTAGTGGAAGCTGCATTTGCACAATCACAGAGTAGGGTAAACTTTACACCAATGTAATCAAATAACAACAAAACAAAACGAACAAAAAAGTACATTTTTGATCTTATCGCTAAGAGCGATTTCTTACAGACGTCAACCATCAGACGGACTATAAATTGAAAAATTATTTAATTATTAGCTATTATAACAATTAGTCTCAATTAGAACCTAGCTGAAAGTTAGCTAGAGCTGTGTGGATACACAAAACCACCCATAAAGAAAAGAGAAAACTGTAAAATTTCCTTTGTATAGCGCAACGTCAACTCTAAATAATGGGTGTAGCATAAAATAAACAAAAAATCATAATCTTTTAATTAATTTCAATCAATCATTGTTTTTGACGTGCACTAATCATAAAATGTCTGAGGCATTGATTTTTTATGCAAATTTTATACGAACCGTCACTAGTTACTCCATATCCAGCAGCGACCGCCCATTGGCCAACAAATAGGTTGTTCAGATCGGCGGTGTTAGGCAGAGCGATGGGCTTGATGTTGTCTGAAAAAAAACGTTTATTTTTAACAAAAAAAACAGCTTCTGAGATTTACAATTTGAAATGTGCAAAGCAAATGATAATTATTTTTTTTACAGAGAGATTCAATCGTGTATTTTTGTTAAATTAAATTTCAAATATACGATAGCATACAAAAGCGGACATCTTTATTGTGTGTGGTCAATTACAAATTTTCAATAAGGTAAAGACTCACTGTTCAGAGTAACCCTGTGAGGTAGGTAAATCATTGCCACATCGTTGTTCAAAAGGGTGGGATTCCATTGAGGATGTACAAAAACTTGACGAGTAGTGACACGAACACCACCGTGGAACAGCGTGTTTGAGCCGAGAACCACAACGAACTGGTTAGCTTGGAAGCGGCCATCAAACCAGCAGTGGGCGGCGGTGACTAGCCTGTTAGCTGAAAGAAGCGATGATCCACACGCCGAAGTACCGACGGCGTTTATGAAGGTGATGAGAAGACCAGCCTGGAAATCGAAAAATTTGTTGTCTAACATTCTTCAATTTACATGTATAATATTTGAGCAGTGATACAGTTTTGGCTGTAGCTGAAACTTTGAGAGTGATCGTGGGTAAGTCGGCCAAAGTACTCGCATCGACAGGAGGCCTAGACAAGGCGACGGGCTGCCTCAACGCTACCATATGAGCCATCTGGATTCGTCGTGGCCTAAAGGATAAAACGCCCGGTGTATTCGTGTCGTGCGCTGCACCGGTGTTCGAATCCCGCAGACGGGTACCCATTTTTCCAATGAAATACGTACTTAACAAATGTTCACGATTGACTTCCACGGTGAAGAAATAACATCGTGTAATAAAAATCAAACCCGCAAAATTATTATTTACGTAATTACTGGTGGTAGGACAACTTGTGAGTCCGCATGGATAGGTACCACAACCCCACTTAATTCTTCCGTAAAGCAGTAATGCGTTTCGGTTCGAAGGGTGGGGTAGCCGTTGTACTGCTAAAACTAAGACTTTACAACTCATGTCTCGAGGTGGGTGGCGGCATTTACATTGCAGATGTATATGGGCTCCGGTTACCACTTGACACCAGGTCCGTGAGCTCGTCCAATCATCTAAGCTATAAAAAACAACGACCACGTCCACGACCACGAAACAGGTGAAGTTGCTTGCAGCCACGCCATCACGCCATCACGATCAAGACCATTTGAGTCGATATGCACATTGGGAACGTCGCCTTGAACCTTGGATGTAGAGACTGCGGTTGCACACAATGATGATAATATGTATTGTTATCCGAAAATCGGAAGAAGATATAAGTTTCTCTCTCTCCCTGATTTTTAGGAGTTGTAGGATGCTCACGAAGTCATGGAGCCATCGTGAACATGCGCCATTTATAATGGTATTTTTATTCAATAAAACTATGGGTTAGTCACCAGTATCGAATTTCTAATTCTAATCTTTCTTAAACACAAACAATTTTCAATTTTAAAACGATAATTACATTCAGACGCGGGCGCACGCTATTCACACTCAAAACAGAAGCGCCTGGAACATACATATATATACACTCTGTTAAAAGACGGACATAGATACTAACTATGTATTGCGAGAGTGACGTACAGGTCGGTTTGCTATAAATGGTAATAACAGATTTAAAAGAATAATTACGTGAGGGACATACCAAATAAGGATGTGCGTTTGATGGCGAAATGGCCCCACCAACTATCCTTGCAGCATTGTCTGGCTGGACACTTGAGTCAAGCTTTGCAGTCTCCGCAGCCCTAATACTTTTAGCTAGGGGTATTCCCACATTCTCGTGGTAGAAGGTCTCCACCGGCACATAGGCTGATGTGTAGCCCACGAAGAAGATACCGAAGAGTACAGCAGTTTTCATTTCGACAGAATGGCAATATAACACATAATCGGCTCAAATTTAAATATTTCATTTATCTCTCCAGATCAGATAGAAAATTAATCAGCTGATATAAAACAAACTTTTGGTGCTGTTTATCAGGTTATCGTGGTAATTAGCGCTCTTTTATGTGATATTTATATTCGATGGTTTGTAGTGATTGTACTCAGAAAGCCTTTAGAAGATAGCGACACAAATAATTTAAATTGCTACCTGAACTTAGTTAACTCACTACGATAAAAGTTCATATGCAGAACTTTTATCTTTTCTTTTTCGTCTGTGTGTTGCATGTCGCGTGACGGTCGGCCGCGGAGTAGGGATAAAGTGAAAGGCGCTCGTCAGAGCAACCAAGGCGACGGGTTCAATAAAAATATTAATTGGAGACTTACACCCGTATCTTTAGACGTTTCGTAAAATAGTCCTCCACTCTTAACTCATCCGATGATGCTCGAGAATTCCCTCCAAACTTACTCGAGTTTGGTATTTTTAGTCGACCATTACAATATTCCTCAAATGTCCTCGAGTGAGGTAATACTGATGAAAATTTGATCAAGCTAGCATCAAACCCATAGAGTTCTGTAGTCTATGGTCATTGTTTAATGTCAAAGTCAAGCTGCCGCTGTCTGTTTGACACTAGATGAACTTGTTTGATGTTTTGGTTGCTGAGTTATTCGTAAATATGTGTGCGTGCGGTAAATCTGAAAGTGTATTATTTATTTTCTAACCTATTATTATTTTAGATTTCGGATCCGGCTTTGTATTTTTATTCGCCGCTTTTGTGTGATTTTGGTTGCATCGTGTTGTTGAAGTGCTTTTCCACAACCACCAGTTTATTATTATATAAATAAAACTTATAATCGCATTGACTTTATTTATCAGGTAGTAAGCAAAATATGTCTCTTATGTAGGTAAATAAAATAAAGAGTTTCAAATGTCTAACTTCGAACTATTTACTTTATTAATAAATATTATCAAAATTAAATTATCAAAATATGCGGGAATCATGCACAGATCCAGGCCATTGCACAACAATATCATATATTTCCATTTGCGGTCCACATACTATTTGGACATTGATAGAAAACCAGCCTTGAGGAACGTTCAAGGTACGTCGCGACGTACCTTGACTTGACAGTTCGCTCACTTCACTCCGGTTAGGAAAATTTTCCAAGGACGTTTGAGTGGAGTTTATTTTTACGACTAATCATACCAAAACGCGCGTTGGAGGTTGAGTCGAGTCGAGTTAAGCTCGTGTAAACGACTAAAGATACGGGTGAGAGTCTACTTTTATCCTTTCCCATTATCATTCCAATTTCCCAAGTATAAAATTAAGATTGATAAAGCGATTTTTATACCCTTAATGGAATATTATTCCAAATTTTTTTAGTTAAATGTCTATAATGTGAAAAAAGTTTCACTTTTATCGTTTTTTCATAAAACCACACTATCCTTTTATTTATTTTATAGCCGATGGGTAGACAAGCTTGCGGCCCACTTCGAGTTGAGTGGTTACACAGAGCCCATAAACATCAACTACGTAAATACCTTCACCCACCTTGAAACATGAGCTCTGAAAACTTTTTATAGGCTCCTGAATTTCTAAGCATTACTAGAGTTACTATAATCGCGTTAAGCGTTAAACATTTGAGATAAACTCCTATGATATGTAAACGGAGTAAAATGTCCCTTCGGAACAAGGTGACCCCTTAGAAAACTTACATAAGGCCCGTCATGATTTACGCGAATGTGGTGTGGTGGTCATGCGGCCCGCACACACATAGACACACTCCAATACCTAAAATCCTGTTTTTGCAGGTTAGCCATCGGAGCTCCGTGGTTCATGAGGAACGACTTACACGACGTCCTGGGCCTCGAATCGATACGAAAACAGCGTCGGAACGTTACTTCGATAAGGCAATGTATCATGTTATCATGATCGCCTTATCGTCGCCGCCGCTGACTACTCCCCGTATATTGATCCCGCAGGCAGTCACCGTTGACGCCCTTGACACGTCCTGTTAGATCCATCAGATCCAATAACTCATACATTAGACGTCTTTAGCTCTAACGCTAGGCAGGAAACTCAGTGGGCAGACATTTATGAACTTTATTCAATGCTTTTTTTATGAATGAGGGATTACTGGTGGCCCGGAGACCTTTCCAGTTCCACTAGGACAAGTGGGCGAGCAAAGGCTCAGCTAGGAGGAGTGGGATTTGCTAACCGCCTCCAAAAGAAATCTAATAACTCAAAAGTAGCTGCTTCGTGAATGAATCTACTACCGGATCGGAATTAAGACCCGCTGAGAAGATCCGGCGATAATCACAGCGGACTAATGTATGAGCTAGGTTGCACGTCGAACTCTTCGTCGAGATCGTCGAGTAGGTTTACCGAGGTCCCTAAGCCTGCTCCTAGCATTAGAGCTCAAGACGTCTAATGCAACATTTATTAGATCTGATGGATCCGTAAGGATGTGGGCGTATCCTATCATCAGTACCAACTCGTGATAAAAACATTGGAAAAGTGTATTATTGGTTGGCCAAGGTAAAATAATCGTTAGTCGTACTCCAGCTAATTGTGACAATAGTTCACATCTCAAGATAGGTGATGATAGCCTTTAGGTTGAAAATTAGTTCAAATCTTGAGGTAGGGATAGCACGTAAGTTGAAAATACTGACAGTGCAGACGTGGCTGAGCTCTAGTCGAAACCAAAACGCATAACTACTTTACGGGAAGAATGGCCAGGGTAATAGTACCTAGCTGCAGGGTGCTGGGCCTCGCTATGCGCTCTATCACAAAAAGATACGCATTTTATTTGTGGGTTTCGTTTTAATGTATGACTTTTTTATCTTAATCGTTTTAGTCGCACGCGGACACGTGTAAACACCGATTTGAATTATGAGACAGTTGTTGCGTAAGAAGAAATTAGGACTTCGGCTTCATATTTGACAAGCTACACACATTGCCATTTACCGTCAGACGAATCTTGAGCTCATTTGCCCACATTTTTCGCGTATCTTTGAAATGACTGCTATCTGTACGCACGCAGTCTTGCTATAAATATATTTACAAGGAAATTGTTTACTACTAATTCGTTTGTTTAATAAAAAACTTTTTTAATATATGTATTTAAGTGTACTTTCTTTAATTTCAATTTTGCCGTGTTTTCGCTGATGTAATAAGAGTTTCTACTAAACACTGCATCATAAGCTTTATCTTTTTTTGTGACAAACAGAAGTATTTTCATGATACCTATAAATATCCCGGCAGACATACAAGCGACTAATACCAAGCTGATGGAGAATTCAATAGTTCCAAATGGAGCCCCGGGCCAATTTGTAATACTGTCACAGCAATTCTCTTGATTTTCCCACATCATTTTTAATATTGCAAGATTATTCAATAAAAATTAATATCCACCCTGGTGGTTGTTGTACTTCAACTACTGTCATGTAAACAATTAGGAATTTTACCAAATTCATTTGAGACTTTGAAATTTTCTTTCTCGGCTTCTTTTTACAGCTCTTGCAGTTTCGTATAAATAAATAATACAAATTTTATGTGACGTTATTTTTTATTATAAATTATTATTTACATTTCTCTTTACACGTCGAAATTTGCATAAATTATCTCCATGTATAAATTTATTTGATCGATCTATCTCTGTAGAATGTGTGTAACTGAAATACAAAAAACATTACGTATTATTTATTATCTTACTAGCGACCCGCCCTCGCTTCGCTTCGGAAACTGTAATTTATTATTGATTTCTCCACTATTTAATGGATGTTATTATACATATAAACTTTCCTCTTCAATCACTCTATCTATTAAAAAAAACCGCATCAAAATCCGTTGCGTAGTTTTAAAGATTTAAGCATTCATAGGGGCAGACAGATATAGAGACAGAGAAAGCGACTTTATTTTATATTATGTAGTGATGATAAAAATCCTGTTGAAATTGTAACTCGTTTGTTTGTAAAACCTACCTTTACATGTGTTGAATAATGAAACCGTAGAAGCTGGTGGTCCTGGCGAAGGCTGAGGGGAACCCATCCTGGCATCTGTTTTGAGCCACAAACGAGCTGACACCAACCTGAATGAGGGAAAGTATATTAAACAATGAAGTATGGTTTTGAAAATATTTTTTGACTTCTAATATTTGATTGTTTTTGATTGACGAGCTCACAGCCCACCTGGTGTTAAGAGGTTACCGAAACCCATAGATATGTACAACGTAAATGCGCCACTCACCTTGAGATATAAGTTCCAAGGTCTCAGTATAGTTACAACGCCTGCCCCACCCTTCAAACCGAAACGCATTACTGCTTCACGGCAGAAATAGGGAGGGTGATGGTACCTATCCGTGCGGACTCACAAGAGGTCCTACCACCAGTAATTGTAAGGAATGATGGCCATGTTTTCTTATCTTAACACTGATTCAGCATAAAGGCACGAAACAAACCAGCATATAACTTTAATATACTCTTTGGATTTTTATTCCCTGTAATTTACTTATATCTTTTTTTTGTAAGCCTTTATTGCTGATACTAAACAATGTTTTTACACACCGTAACAAATTGTTTTAACTGAAATCTAATTAATACATCGGGTTTCCCGGTTCAGTGATCAGCGTGTCCTGTGACACATAGGCCTAACCCCGTTAACCATACTCGTCGAACTCGACAAAGAGGTCGACGTGCAACCTAACCCATGCATCAGCCCGCTGAGTTTCTCTCCGGATCTTCTCAGCGGGTCGCGATTCCGATCCGGTAGTAGATTCATTCGCGAAGCAATTGCTCTTAAGCTGTTGGGTCTCCTTCGGAGGCGCTCGGGCAGTTGTTAGCAAATCCCACCCCTCCTGGCTGAGCCTTTGCTCGCCCGCATGTCCTGGTGAAACTGGAAAGGCCTCCGGGCCACCAGTAACCTTTCAATCATAAAAAAAACATAGGCCTCTTCCAGAGAAGAATTTATGTCTAGGGACTTACCAATGTGGGTCTGCCATAACGGTGCAAGACAAGAGGTCCGCCGGAGTCTCCGCGGCAGATACCGACGCCGCCAGCTCCGCTCGTGCAGATGTTTGTGTCTCTCACGAAGTTGCTACCGAAGACGGCCATGCACTGCTGCACTGTGATCACTTGCAAGTTCACATGGCTCATAACCTGATTTACAGATATTCCAAGCTGGGCTGAAAACATAGAACTATGATAAAAACTGATTTATCAGTGAACTAAATGAACATACTCTAGGCGTATTCTTACTTCTGTATTTTCCTATATTTTGGATATTTGGAAAGTGAGTATTGGTTAAGCAAAGATAATTAAGTTATTATACTATTACTATTTAGTGTAGATGAGTAAATTAGTGAATTCTACTGTGCACTGTACGATCTAAGATACGATACCAAAATTATTTATATAGTATATTTGTAGTATAGTATTTTTTAAAGTATATTTATAAAACGGCTTTCACACGGTTCAAGTCGGACCACTTTTTTTTTAGGATTGAATGATGACTGCTGGCCCGGAGGCCTTTCCAGTTTCACCAGGACAGGTGGGCGAGCAAAGGCTCAGCCAGGAGAGGTGGGATTTGTTAACAGCTGTCCGAGCGCCTCCGAAGGAGACCTAACAACTCAAGAGCAGCTGCTTCGCGAATGAATCTACTACCGAATCGGAATCGCGAACCCCTGAGAAGATCCGGCGAGAAACTCAGCGAGATGATTCATGTGAGTGCTTCGCGGCAGAATGGATAGGGCCTTGAAACATGACCATTATCACCAATATCATAACATCACTACGTACAAAGAGGATCGAATCGTCAAAAGATTAGTTCACAAAGCTCACCGTCGCTAGTTACGCCGTATCCTGCAGCTACAACTGGTAAGCCGACGAAGCTGTTGCCCAAATCAAAGATACTTGGCAATGCGATAGGTTGAATTCTTGCTGTAAATAGGGATATAAATATTAATAACACAATTTTTAGCGCCTAAGATTCTATATAACTTTCTAATTTAGGTTTTTCCTGGTCTGAATTCGTCGTGGCCTAAAGGATATAAGATGTCCGGTGCATTATTCGTGTTGAGCGATGCACCGGTGTTCGAATCTCAGGCGGGTACCAATTTTTTTAATGAAATACGTACTCAACAAATGTTCACGATTGACTTTCACGGTGAAGGATTATCATCGTGTAATAAAAATAAAAAACCCGCAAAATTATAATTTGCGTAATTACGGGTGGTAGGACCTCTTGTTAGTCCGCGCGGGTGGGTACCACCACCCTGGCTATTTCTGCCGTGAAGCAGTAATTCGTTTCGGTTTGAAGGATGGGGCAGCCGTTGTAACTATACTTGAGACCTTATATCTCAAGGTGGATGGCGCATTTACGTTGTAGATTTCTATGGGCTCCAGTAATCACTTAAAACAGGTGGGCTGTCAGCTCGTCCACCCATCTAAGCAATAAAAAAATAAAAAAAACACTTCTGTAAGCAAAGTGCTGGAAGGAAAGCGTATGTTATGTACTAAACTCCGACTGACTGAAATTCCATGTGTAAGTTCTGTGAAAATTTTATTCTAATACTATGCGGCCAGAGTTAATTATTAAAAAATATATGTCTTACCGCTGAAAGACACGCTGAAAGGTAGATAAATCATAGCAATGTCGTTGTTGAGGAGTGAAGGATTCCACATCGGATGCATGAACACTCGGTTGGTCGGTATACGAGTGCCTCCATGGAAAACGAATTGGGTTCCAAGGACGACGACGAATTGAACAGCTTGCCTATTTCCATCGAACCAGCAATGAGCAGCAGTTACAAGACGAGTCGCTGAGACAAGAGAAGACCCGCATACTGCATTCGAAGCAGTGCTAGCGAAACTAATTACCAGACCGGCCTGAAAATCAATATGGTCTAAGTTCAAACAATTTTGCCTGGAAGCATTTCCCACACCCACTATTTTTATCCACCAATTTCACATTTTTCGTCAACATAAGTCCATAGCGTAATGACAAATTTGTTCATGAAAACCTATTTAACATTTTACTATCTCTATATATAAAAATGAACTGCTGTTTGTTAGTCTCGCTAAAACTCGAGAACAGCTGGACCGATTTGGCTAATTTAGGTCTTGAATTATTTGTGGAAGTCCAGGGAAGGTCAAAAGGTAGATAAATATAAAAATGCCCGGAATTAAATAAAAATAACAATTTTGTTTTTCCTTTGATGTGTCCCCCGTCGGACGGACGTTTTTTGTTTTAAGTTTATTTTATACAAAAGTTTAGGTCTTTTATTTATCGACTGAGGCACTACGAAGTTTGCCGAGTCAGCTAGTAATAATATAAAAAAACACGATGTATATAAATCAAAATTCTTCGTGGTAAAAATCGATAAAAAGAAATGTATCGACTTATATAGGGTTTGTAACATACCCTACAATCAGTACTAGGTATGCGAACAAGAGGATAAGGAATAGGAACTTTAGATTGATTATTGGAATTTTCCACTATGTTTTATATTTGTGCTGACTTCTATATCCTAAACTGTTCAAACTTACCAGGTAGGGGTGCGATTGAGCAGGTGCCACTACTCCACCAACAATCCTATTTACGTCTACATCGGGGGTGTTATTAAGAACATTGTTCTCTGCCTCTAATAAACGCTTAGCCAGGGGTATTCCAACTTCATCATGGTAGAACTTCCCTACTTCCACATAAGCGGATACGTAGGTCACAAACAATAATAAACCGAACAACACCCTTTCCATTTTGGAATAAAACCAACGTCGCCTTGTACGAGTTTTTATTTAACTATCTTCACTATCAACATAAAATAATCACAATAAATTCGATTGGCTAGTTCAGCGTTACTATGAGTTTTATCGAAGTAATCGAGCATTAATTAAGGATTAATTATTTAGAATCGAATTCAGTAATTAATTAAACATGTTCTTTAATCAGGATTAGGACTCTTCCAGGAATTAATCTTGGCTAAAATATTCTGAGCGCACTTCACAATGACAATTTCGGTCTTTTCAGTAGACATGTTGGTCAAATTCTCCCATGAAAAATCGAAAATTGGTTATCGAATCAAATCTACCGTTCCAAGCTGTTATCGCATTAATTAGACGTTTGTTCTATGGCGCGTGAACAATATGTATTCTTCCTACTCATATCTGAATTAACTAGCGGTCGCCCGGTTGTCGAAACTCGACTATAATTATTTATTTAAATTATAATTTTTAACATTATTATGGTTCTATTGTCAAAGACTACTTCTATAATCACAGATTTCGCCAAGGCTACACTATAGACAATCAATAGTATTAAAGATAAACAATATTAATCTATTCTCAACTTGACCTCAGACTTTAACTATAAACAAAATAGTAGGTATGCGTCTGTGTATCAAATGCATGGTAGTGTGTGTAATGTTTTCTTTATTGATTAAATGTATCATTTATGCATTATTTAAAAAAAAATAGCATTGTGCATTTCTTCTCTATATTCTCTATAAGTGTGGAAAATTTCATGCTCCTCCTCCGCGCAATTTTCATAAAAAGAGATACAAAATATATAGATATTTCTGACTCAAAAAGTCAGTGACATATGTTTCCTCTAAATAGTGATTCAACCTTACAGTCAAAGGAGTTCCTCTTGAACCCACATATTAAGACTAAATCATTAATTTAAACAAAACATTTACCAAATTACCTGATTACTAATTAATATTTTATACTAGACTTCATTCTTATCTCCTTACAATTTTAAAATAAATACAAATAGTTTCAAGAAATAAAAAAGTTTATTATATTTCCATTTTGGTATAGTATAAAATTTAATCAAGAACAATCCCAGTTATTTCGCTGATCCAGTTCAGATATCTTTGCACCCTGGTGAATACTGAAGGGATCCGGCTATTGCAGCCCGAGGACCTCACAAAGGACGTCACTCCGATCTGTGAAATATCAAAAATAAAATTTAAAATAGTTTCAATTTGACCAAATAAATCATAGAAACAATTAAAAGCAGGTTAGCAGTAAGAAAGAATTGATGTTTTTACATTTCTACCAGAAACCTGAATGAGAATAATATGATACTAATAAACTAGATTATAACGGCATAGAACATGTTTAAGTTATTTCATATTATATGTAAACGGTATATTTATAAACGATCTATTTATTGTATATATATATTCTATATTAATATATTGCCAACGGTACACCATCTGGAAGAGATCGCTTTTAGTGATAAATTTTTTTTATTTTTATTGCTTAGATAGGTGGACGAGCTCACAGCCCACCTGGTGTTAAGTGGTTACTGGAGCCCATAGACATCCACAATGTAAATGCGCCACCCACCTTGAGATATAAGTTCTAAGGTCTCAAGTATAGTTACAACGGCTGCCCCACCTTTCAGACCGAAACGCATTACTGCTTCACGGCAGAAATAAGCGGGGTGGTGGTACCTACCCGTGCGGACTCACAAGAGGTCCACTGATGTACCACCAGTAAATTTTCTCACCTTTTAAAAGACCACCTATTGCTCAAATGTATCTGCTTGTTGGCTGTTTTTTTTTAAAGTTAATTGTGCTTTGGTGTGCAATAAAGTTATTCTCTCTCTCTATCTCAGTCTGTAAGTTAAAAGGATCATACGATGCTTACCAAAATAGTTTCCTCGGTTGCTGTAAAATATATCGTCATGGGACCGCCATTGTCACCCTATACAAATAACAAAGACTCATATTAATTTAATTTTACGATTTCATGTATAGTTTTTCAGAACTTCGTCCTACTCAGAGAATTTGTCTTAAATGGAACTTGTATCTGCACTAAGATAATGCAATCGATACTAGAATATCTCTAGTTTGGACATAAGGGTTGCGGTGGCATTCATCATCATCATCAGCCCACAGTCGTCCACAGCTGGTGTTGCGTTGTGGTATCATTAATAGGTATTATTAGTTATAGTAGTATTAGTTTGATATTTTTATTAGTTCATAAGTGACAAATTAAAGAATTTAAAATTAATGAATATAAGTAATATGAAATAGATGTGTCGCCCTTGGCGGCTGGAAATGAAATGGAAAAGTGTCATAGCAGACGTCGCTCGTTGACACTTTTGATGTTCCGAATTCAAACAGCTGGACATAGGCCTCTCCCAGTCCACAACACTGAGCCCGGTCTTCATTCACCTCATCNATTAGTTCATAAGTGACAAATTAAAGAATTTAAAATTAATGAATATAAGTAATATGAAATAGATGTGTCGCCCTTGGCGGCTGGAAATGAAATGGAAAAGTGTCATAGCAGACGTCGCTCGTTGACACTTTTGATGTTCCGAATTCAAACAGCTGGACATAGGCCTCTCCCAGTCCACAACACTGAGCCCGGTCTTCATCCACCTCATCCACCTCTTGCCGGCAACCGATCGGAGGTCATCGTACCACCTAGCCAGGGGGCGTCCCACGTTAAGTTTTCCGCTGCGTGGTCTGCCCTCAGGAACCCATCTGCTCCAGCGATCGTCAGTTTTACGGCATATATGGTCAGCACACTGCCATCTCAGCTTACTGACTCTTTGAGTTATGTCAATAACTTTGGTTCTGTGTCGAATAACCTCATTCCTGGTTTTATTTATCGTTCAAAGAGTGGCTCTATTCATGGCGGTGACCTTGAGTCCTGATTATTTCTTACAAGCAGGCTGTAGGCTAGCACTATCTTAGCTAATAACAAAATTGAAGACATAAAATAAAATTAACAAATATAGTTTTTATGATGATTGGTTTTTAGGTCGGGCCCTAATTGTTATAATAAATGATTCAGCTTAGTCCTCAAACTCACCTTACAAGTGCCAGCGTCAGTGTCGAATGTACAAACAGTGTTCTCGGGCAACTGATTGAAGTATGAAGTGTTGCAGAAGGAATCAGAAATCACGGGCATCAACTTCTCACGAAGCGTCGGTGATATAAAATTTATACCTGTAGATATTATTGATTGGATTACAGTATTACGTTTCTTGTTTGTGTATCATTAACAAAATCCTGGATGCTTCTTTTTTTTTATTGCCCTTGTAGACAGACGAGCATACTGCCCACCTGATGGTGAGTGGTTACCGTTGCCCATGGACTTCAGCAATGCCAGGGGCAGATCCAAGGCGCTTTGTACCGCTTCATTGTGAATTTCGCTTTGTTTTTTTGCTTTGCCTCTAGGCCTCAGCTAACAGGGGAAGGCTTACTACGAACTTCCCGAGCGCCCATTCCCAAATAAGCCCTAATAGCACGAAGGTAACGGCTTCGCGATTGCATCTACCGTCAGATCGAAGTCGCGACCCGTTGACAAGAACCTCGGCGGACTGCTGCTAAAGTTCACGCTGAACTTTTCGGCAAGTTTGACGAGTGCGTGTGATTTGGTTGCTGCTACCGCTGTGTCGAACAGACCTCAGAGTGAATCATAATGATCCACGGGGACGAGTCTAGTACGTCGACCGTGGTTGGCTCCTGCATGAGTCAAATCACTCATGACCACGACAAGCAGTTAATCATTTCCTGCCGCCATTTAAAAATACCGCTCTGTTTCAATTTGTCATAAATTTAATATTTATAATAATTAGCTGGTATCACCGCGGTTTCATAGCTTTGCAGAAACGCGCTAAGCTTATAAATTATATTGAAGCTAAAATACAAGCCAATATAGTAAAATCAATGGTAGAAGGTTCTAATAGCTCAAAATAGGACGGCTATTTATACATAATCTATTCAACTTAGAATGTTAGCTCACTGGCCTAAAATTGGACTAATTCGGTGTACACGAACACACTCAAGAAAAACTTGTCACGTGTATCGCGTCCTTTAGTTACATATTTAATAAGCAGTGATTTATCTTATCCGCTAATGAACAGATATGTGTGAATATAGCATTATAGGATATAAATAAATGAAAACATGTTTTCATCGCTAAAATCAATTAGAGCATCACATTGTTACGGACATTTCGAAAAAAATAAAAATGGTATATGATACCTTCCGCTGCAATGCCCCATCCGGATGCAATGGCTCCTAAACCAGCGAAGTTGGATGACACAGAATTTAAGTACGGTAGCCGAATAACTTGAACCATTTCTGAAAATAATAAAATAATTTAATAAAAAGAAAACCGACTTGAACAAAATAAAATGAGAATATCATCACGTAGCCTAAGTCAATTACCTAAATAGGCGTTATTAAGGATAACTCAAAAACTACTGGTCAGATATTGATAAAATTTAAATAGAACTACATTAGAAGTATCCGCTATCAAACAGAGAAAGAATTATCAAAATCGGTTGACCTATTAAAAAGATCCGACATAAAAAATACAGTCGAATACTGGTGGTAGGACCTCTTGTGAGTCCGCACGGGTAAGTACCCCGCCTATTTCTGCCGTGAAGCAGTAATGCGTTTCGGTTTGAAGGGTGGTGTAGCCGTTGTAACTATACTGAGACCTTAGAACCTATATCTCAAGGTGGGTGGCGCATTTACGTTGTAGATGTCTATGGGCTCCAGTAACCACTTAACACCAGGTGGGCTGTGAGCTCGTCTACCCATCTAAGCAATAAAAAAAAAAACTCCTCCCTTTTTAAGTAGTTTAAATTAAAATTTTAGTGACTCAACATTATCATGTGTGGCTCTCCGCTCTGATGTGGTTTTTTCAATGTCCTGTTTGTACTCTGGGTTATAAGTGCTGGAGCATAAAGGAATTTCATTGTTTATCGCATTAGATTTAATTCGATTGCCAATAAAAGAAAAATGTGCGATTCAATGTTATCCGATAAAAAAGAATGCTAGTATTTTATTTCCTAACATGATCTTTACAGAACATTTCAAGAAGGGATATCAGTTGTAAAATAAATAAGTAAGTAAATTTTTATTGTATTCGACTTGATTGTTTTTTTTTCCTACCTATGCCGAAAGTTCGGTTTTCCTCCCGCTGTACAGGGAAGAAAGTGTAACTTTTCTGGGTTACAAGTGCGCATGAGCGTTAGTGTCTACGTCTGCTCTCACGCACCTAAAATTCTCCGCCATTGTTGTGCTTGGGTAATTTGCAATATTGTGTTTAGTCTAAAAGTGAAATAAACAAAATGCAATAAAATTTAATACTGAAGTATTAAACAAAGATGAGTTCATCAGACATCTCATTTTCCTAATGTCCTACTTTCCCCCTTGGTGCACAATGTATTATTATACATATTTCTAACACGAAATTGATTATGCTAAGACAGAAAGGTCCACTATTACGTCTCAGAGAGTTTAATGGTGACAATATTGTTTTGCATTCTGTTATTTTGCTTTTTTGATAAAACGCTACAGAGAAGCCTAATAAATATTCTACGCTGCTTTGATAAATAAACAATACAAACAAAAAAGTGATTTACTGATAAAATTTAATCTTTTCTTTAATGTTATCGAGTCACGTGTTTCTTGCGATTATAATTAGGACTTTATAAAAATTGTATAGTAGCTAATCTAAATGTTTACGTTTTTAATACACTTTTTTTATACCTATAGATTAAACACGTCTGAGTTCATGGTTACAAGATTTCGTGGGTAATCTGTTTGCTTTTTTTTTTACCGGCAACCGAACGTCGATGACGTAATTACTATTCGGTCAGATATAAGGAAGTAACATATTAATATATAATATACTTAGTCTGGCCATAAATACTGTTACAAAGGAAAACAAAAAAAAATCTATGGCAAATAACATTTATTACTTTTACAGTGTGTTAGTTTAATACATAAATATAAAACAATTTAAAGTATAAAAAGCTTATTCGAAGTGGTCTCCATTGGCTGCAATACAGTCCTTTAAACGTTGAGGCCAGTTATCAATAGAAGCACGCACTCNGGCCATAAATACTGTTACAAAGGAAAACAAAAAAAAATCTATGGCAAATAACATTTATTACTTTTACAGTGTGTTAGTTTAATACATAAATATAAAACAATTTAAAGTATAAAAAGCTTATTCGAAGTGGTCTCCATTGGCTGCAATACAGTCCTTTAAACGTTGAGGCCAGTTATCAATAGAAGCACGCACTCTTTCCAGGGGAAAAATTTTCACTGCCAATCGTACGTATTGTTTTAGGGACTCCAAATTATCATGGCGTTTAGAGCAAGCCGTACTCTCTAAAACTGACCATAAATCATAATCCAGCGGATTAAGATCGGGACTAGACGACGGCCAGTCTTCATTATGAAGTCCGAAACGTTCGTTTCCAAGCTTTATGACCTGGCGCCGAGTCTTGCTGGAAGGACCATTCTTGATTATTGAACATGGTGTTGTTAAGGGGCTTCACTACCGTCTCAAGAATGATATCTTGATACACTTGTGCCGATGTTTTGATACCTTTTTCACAAAAGTATGGCTCAGTCACTCCTTTATAGCTAATACCCCACCAAACCACCACTGAAGTCGGATAGTGCCCACGTTGCACTCTGTCGACTAATTGGGAAGCTTCCTTAGAGCTTTGAGCATAAATACGGTCATTTTGTTTGTTAAAATGTTGCTCAATTGTAAAAAATTTCTCATCCGTAAACAAAATTTTTCTATGACCTCCCTTTGCGTACCGCTTCAGTAGTTGTTTCGATTTTACCACCCTATTCTCTTTTANCAAGATTAAATTATTACAATTTTTAACCTATATGTTTTGTTGATGTTCTAATAAATATATAAATAAATACATATGTTGATTTTAATAATTTAATAGCATTATGACGCAGAGTAAGTAATGTTTTTGCACGTGAGTGTACCATGCGCAAACTTACCCCCACTACGTCAACAAATGCTCAAGAAGTTTGCCGGTTATTATACAAGTGCGCATGAGCGTTAGTGTCTACGTCTGCTCTCACGCACCTAAAATTCTCCGCCATTGTTGTGCTTGGGTAATTTGCAATATTGTGTTTAGTGTAAAAGTGAAATAAACAAAATGCAATAAAATTTAATACTGAAGTATTAAACAAAGATGAGTTCATCAGACATCTCATTTTCCTAATGTCCTACTTTCCCCCTTGGTGCACAATGTACTATTATACATATTTCTAACACGAAATAGATTATGCTAAGACAGAAGGTCCACTATTACGTCTCAGAGAGTTTAATTGTGACAATATTGTTTTGCATTCTGTTATTTTGCTTTTTTGATAAAACGCTACAGAGAAGCCTAATAAATACTCTACGCTGCTTTGATAAATAAACAATACAAACAAAAAAGTGATTTACTGATAAAATTTAATCTTTTATTTAATGTTATCGAGTCACGTGTTTCTTGCGATTATAATTAGGACTTTATAAAAATTGTATAGTAGCTAAGCTAAATGTTTACGTTTTTAATACACTTTTTTTTATACCTATAGATTAAACACGTCTGAGTTCATGGTTACAAGATTTCGTGGGTAATCTGTTTGCTTTTTTTTTACCGGCAACCCAACGTCGATGACGTAATTAATATTCGGTCAGATATAAGGAAGTTACATATTAATATATAATATATTAATAGGCAGAAGCCCACTGAGTTTCTCGCCGGATCTTCTCAGTGGGTCGCGTTTCCGATCCGGTGGTAGATTCTGCGAAGCACTGCCCTTGCCAGGGCCAGTGTTAGCAACACTCCGGTTTGAGCCCCGTGAGCTCACCTACACGTCAAAGAGAAGCTGAAATAGCTACTGTTAGTCATATTTGTTTAGCAGCGATTCAAGACTTTCAGTAGAATTTAAAAAAAATACAACACTTCTGCTTTTACTTTTACAATAAAAAAGAACAAAAAAGAAAACGTCTTTTTTCTCTTTTTTTTATTGCTTAGATGGATGGACGAGCTCACAGCCTACCTGGTGTTAAGTGGTTACTGGAGCCCATAGACATCTACAACGTAAATGCGCCACCCACCTCGAGATATAAGTTCTAAGATCTCAGTATAGTTACAACGGCTACCCCACCCTTTGAACCGAAACGCATTACTGCTTCACAGCGGAAATAGGCGGGGTGGTGGTACCTACCCGTGCGGACTCCCAAGAGGTCCTACCACCAGTGATTACGCAAATTATAATTTTGCTGGTTTGATTTTTATTACACGATGTTATTCCTTCACCGTGGAAGTCAATCGTGAACATTTGTTGAGTACGTATTTCATTAGAAAAATTGGTACCCGCCTGCGGGATTCGAACACCGGTGCATTTATATGCATACGAATGCATCGGACGTCTTATCCTTTAGGCCACAACGACTTCAAATACATACATAAAGTTAAGCAGTAGTAATAGTAGTAGTAATATTTTAATAGGTACGGTGTTTAAGGTATTCAAAGTCGTCCCCGAACCCAGAACGGAAATCAATTAACACATGTAATCGGCAAATGACGTAAATATTTTATACTAATCACCCCCTAATCGCTTGCTCATAAATGACGAGCAATATTACTTACGCCGTCACAATTACTTAATCAAAATTTAGTAGCCCGGCTTTCTCGAAAAGTTCTCGTAACATTAAAGCACTTTTTTCCGTACGTATTTGCTGGTAGCCTAAGAATCTACCAATCGGAATCGCGACCCACTAAGAAGATCCGGCGAGAGACTCAGTGGGCTATGTCTATGGCTTAGTTTATAGTGAGCGGTGCGTGAGGGGCCTAAAACCTTTTTTTTTTTTTCCTACCTAAGCTGAGAGCCTTGAGAGGCTATATCAGCGTAACCCTAACTTTTGTAGGTGAGCTCACGGGGCTCAAACCTGAAGACGTTGCTAACACGAACCCTAGCAAGAGCCGTGCTTCGCAGAATCTACCACCCGATCGGAAACGCGACCCACTGAGAAGATCCGGCGGGAAACTCAGTGGGCTGTGTCTGAGGGCCTAAAACCACCGAAAGTATATCCGAGGGATCCGATAAGACATGTTTCAGGCGACGGCGACTTTGTGTTGCCCCGTCGCCTGGGTCGGACATTTCGTATACCTAAGTATATCGGATAACGTTTTGCTTTACTTTTACGCATGTACTATTCGATAATTATCTGACTGATTGTATCATTTAATACATATATTTATCGTCAACGATTTGACTTTGTAACATTTGTAGAACCGTTTAAAATTAATAAGAATCTATATAGTAGGTACAGATTTTAAATATCAGATAAGAACATAATATTATAGTATAAAAGATTATTTTTTTAAAGATTTTGATAGTACAGTAATTGCTTTTCTAAAATTCTTCATTACATTAAGATCATGCTCAAAGTGAAATCTCGCCTTCAGAAACATGAGATAAATTATACTTTTTATCAAAATCAGTTTTTTACTTTTTTCACTTTTTTACTTTTTTTTCTCTTCTAGACGGGACTTCGGGACCAAAGTGTTTAATAAATATGTTCCTGACTAACATATTTCCTTACTAAATATGTTCCTTATTTTGACAAATATGTTCCTGAAATAGTCGCAAAAATATTAATATATAATGCCTTGCATCAGAACAAATTTCAGTGCAATTTGATTAATTAAAAATCTGATATCCGAGATATGCCTGCTATCGATATTTTATCTATGACAGAAATCTTTAAAACGACTAAACTACTGTTTATTGCAACAACAACAATAGCTTCTAACGAACGGCGCCGAATTTTATATTATTAATTTATTTATTTCACAACGTTGTTATTAATCGTGTTTTCGATCGTCCGATTAGTGTTTAGAATTAACAAAACTCGCAACAACCAAAATATGACTAGAATCTCGCACCTTGAAACAAGAAAATTGAACTACTTTCGAACATCATTGAAGTGGAACATAGGACTTCAAAAATTCAGCCAAGAGGCCAAAAAGGTCAAATACTTTATCTGTAGTCGCACAAATGTCTCAGCCACCAATCAAACCAAAGAAATAATAATATTATTTTTAAAAAATAAGACGTTTCAATGTATTTTAATATATTGTATAACTGTGCTATATAAATATTCAAACTTACCAGTTATTTGGACGACATTGGCTAAACGTAGCAGTGCCAGGTCGTTGGCGAAAGTGGCCGGATCCCATTCCGGATGCACTATTATTTCTACGATGTTCACGATGCGGCGACCGTTTTCGTAACGATCATACAATGAATGCGCCCCAAGGATAGCCTGAACAATACATTTCTGATAAACTCAAACGTCTGATAAACTCAAAATCTTCTAAAACATAGCCCAGCGGAATTTTCCATGCTTGTGATCCCAACTTCGTAAACCATAAAACCCGGCAGTAGGTATACCCACGAAGTATATCTATATATTTTATCACCTTTGATATGCAAGACTTTTCTTTAAGACGGACTTATTTATTGCCTATAAAGCTTATCCAGTTTGACCAGGGAGGTAGTAGTAGTAAAATAAAAATAAATAATAGTTTTGAAAAAACTAACAAAATACGCTTTTATAGAAAATCCAACTAAAAAATAGAAAATAAATTTTAATAAATTTGAATTAAAAATAGTGTAAGAAAAAATGATTTTATTGTAAAAAAGGCGTGGGGTGCTTTTCACGATATTATCAAAATAACCCTTCTACTCATATCTGTTCACAAAATATTTATAACTACTGATACCATTTTTTTAAACTATTACTTATTTATTTTTAATTTTTTAGTGGAATTTCAATTTTTTCAATATTTTTTTCCATTTTTTTTTAATATTGAATTGTCATCGGTCTTTAATAAGTATACCAAAATTCGAGTTAATCCGACGTTTTGAAGGGGGTCAAAATCATGTTCAAAGATTTCGTTACATACTAACATACATACGTCTGAAGCTAATAAAAGCGTATTAAAAACTGCATAGATTTATCAAATTTACTGCTCATATTTAACTGAAGTATTCTCTTGATGTTACCTGCACATGATCAACTTCCTGGCCGTCGTGGAAGCAGCAGTGCGCAGCCGTCAGCACCCATTCCTGATGGACGAGGGAGCCCCCGCAGAACCCGAGCTCGCCAGTGGTTCCTACCCGTTTGTACAGAGCTACCTGCGTTTTGTATACGATGGTAGGTAGGTAACTAATGTCATTTTGGGCCTGGCATACTTTTAGAAAAGAACCCAACATCAGGAACTTATGAGAATTTAGTGTTAGAAACATTATCTGCAGCTAAATCAAATGTACCCACATAATTCCATGTTGTCAATCATTATCCAAAAAATACCAGGAGATGTTATAGTAATAGCCGTAATCGCCCGCTTCGCGGCGCATTTAAAATTAACATTATTTTTTATTGTCATTATTAGTAGGGAGTCCAACACTCATATAAATATTAGCCTATCCATTAAGTACATATTGTATTTTCTACATGGATACCAAATTTCAAGTCAATCGGATGCATGGTTCAGTAGTTATAACGGAACATCCGTAAATACCACTTTAGATTCATATATTAGTATAGATTATCGTGAAAGAATTGAATTCTTTAAAGTTCAACAATCGAATAGTATTTTAAAAGAATGTTTCTAACAATAGTTTGGTATTTAAAAAAAAACATTGATAATATAGTACCTGAAAAGGTCGAGAATTAGGTTCGGTGATTTCCCCTCCAATAATCCTCGATTCTCTACTGCATCCAGACCCATCACATAACAGACTAGCTCTCAAAAACACGGGGAAAACACTAAACACTAAAAACCACAACATTCTCGCTGGCTCCAAGATCTAAAAGTCGCTGTGGGAAAGTAATTTTATCTTCTTATCCCAGGAAATGTTTCGAGTGTTTCTGATAATCGTATCTATACAGAGATATTGATAAGAAATGGGTCATAGATAAATTCATCTAATGCATATTTTGTGTGATGCAAAGTTGGTATTAAAAGTTATCGAATAAACTCAAATAGGTTTCCTTTGATAAGACAAGCGGTAGACATTTTTACATGTAGTAAATTAATAATATTAATAAAACTAGTATTATTTGAAAACATCTTTTATTATATTTTCATCAAAAAGTAAAATTTAAAATAAAATATTTAAACATAGTACGACATGCAAGCGTGAAATTGTGGCAACACTAACGTTACAGACGTTTGAAACGCGGGAGTTGCCACATTCCCGTCACAATACAATACGAAAACAGAACTAAAATGTGTCACCTTAATAATAATAATGTGTAATTCAGATATATGTACGTATAGCTTACAAAAAATAACAATCGTGTAATTGGCAGTTAATAAAAATAATTTGAAATAAAAAAAAAGGACATTACAGTATAAGCACTCGAGGCTCAAGCGTTAATAATAATTACAAATCTGAATACGTTACTGACGTGTTGGAAGTCGCTGGTCGCGGCACGGCGGGGCGCCTCTACATCTCTACTCATTTCATACATTAACCAACTATCTATTAGATAAACGTTATAATATTAATAATTTAAATGCTGCGTTGAATTGAACAGCGACACTCACACGTCACAAAGAAGACACTTTAAATATGGAAAATATCTCTAATACGTAGCAGCTTAATTACACAACTCATATTGCTTCTGGAAAGCAGTCGATAATGTGAAAAGTCAATGAACTCGGTGTCCTAATGAATTTAAATGCGGTCGCTATCGCGGTTTTCAGCCAAATATTACATTTAAAAGGAAACAATTAAACACCATCAGAACAGAGGATTGGTCGAAAGTTATAAATCTTTAAAGAATCGTTTTGAATCAATATTATTTTCTAGTCAAACAAAACGTACATTAAAACTACCTCCATTTTATATATATATATATAAATATTTCAATCATAGTCATTTATATTTTATCTGAATTCAAAGACTTATTTTAATAAATAGCGTCGCATTTAGAATTTTTTTTTTATAATTAATAATATATTTAATAATATGTAATTTGATAAAACTTTTTTTTTTTTGTTAAATATAATTTATTAATTTTATTAATCAAACGCGGGTGGGATCGTTCGCGCTCGGATAAAATCTATTTTTCGATACGAAACAATAAATATAGAAGGCGTTTCATACATGCAAAAATCGAACATTNAATAGCGTCGCATTTAGAATTTTTTTTTTATAATTAATAATATATTTAATAATATGTAATTTGATAAAACTTTTTTTTTTTTGTTAAATATAATTTATTAATTTTATTAATCAAACGCGGGTGGGATCGTTCGCGCTCGGATAAAATCTATTTTTCGATACGAAACAATAAATATAGAAGGCGTTTCATACATGCAAAAATCGAACATTCAACGTTTTGTTTTGTACGCAACGCGAGATACAACGTTGCCGGCGGCGAAGCTTGCAAGCGTCGGAAGATCGACCGTCGCGCGACCCGTGCCTCCGGTACCGGGTACCGCACGGGCGCCGAGGTCGACGACCCCTCATCTCTCGACTCGACGAATTAGCTGAAACGACAAACAACACTATTAGCTTATCGATATGTGTACGTTAATGTAACTCTGTCGTGACTCCACTTCGATAAAGCGGCACGACACGAGAACCCTCTCATCATGGCCGCCGGTAACTACATTCCCGATCCTGCGGACAGAATGGAAAGCAGTCGACGTCGCCCCAAACACTTCATTTCGGATCCTCCCGATCCACTAACGGTGCTTTTAGGTACCTCAAGCACCGGTCATCATTCTCGTCGAACCCGTCGCTTGCAACGAAGGGATCGACGAGTAAATTAACCCACAGACATAGCCCACTGAGTTTCTCGCCGGATCTTCTCAGTGGGTAGCGTTTCCGATCCGGTGGTAGATTCTGCGAAGCACTGCTCTTGCCAGGACCAGTGTTAGCAACACTCTGGTTTGAGCCCCGTGAGCTTTCCGTGAGCCGCCGAACCCAAGTCTCGATTGCTTTAGGATAACGGCTATCCCAGTAAAGAAGATTTTGTTATACAGGAGAGACTATAGCGCGACCCCCTTCGAAAAATTATGACGTCAACAAACAGACAGGAGCAAGGGAGATATGTGAGGGTTAAACAAAGCGAATTTTACCATATTTGGTAGATAACAATTTTTACATCGTTTTATTAAAAAAACGTTACGAGGAAATAATTAGACGACACTCTTATTGCAGTTTCAAAAAGCGGTCCCGAATTTTTTTTAAGCAAGCTTTAAATTATATTATGACGAATTACGATGCTGAAATATATTTTTAATATTAATCTTTTTCCGGATAGTATTTCAAATTAATCATATCAGTATACTATCCGATGATAGAATATTTTATTAGGTAATTTCATCGTTTGTATTCATTTTGTTTTCTATTTCTTTCTTAGATTTGTGAACGACATAACGGCTCGCCTGGTGTTAAGTTGTTACCAGAGTCCATTGACATCAATAAAGTGAATGCCGAAGTCTGTTATATCTGTCTGCGTCACGGTAGAAATAGGCAGAGTGGTGGTACCTACCCCTGGGGAAATCAGAAGACGCCTTACCACCATTGAAGTATAAAGTTATCAAATCCTAAGCGAATCATTAAGACCCCGATTCCATTAATTACCTTCTATGTTCATTTTAATTAAAAAAAAGTCTAAATGATGAATAAATTAATTTCTTAAATAAAGGATATTTTTAAGCAATCGATCAAACTGAATCGATATCATGATCTAACGAAACAATGATCGATGAGTACGCGATAGACATCTGGGGACATCAATAATTAATCGAAGTTTTATCATAAATACTAATTTTTTTGACCTGAGATTATGTAAGTAATGCAAAAAAATTAATTATTTCGCTTGATAATTCCGTAATTATATGATCAAATATATTTGTTGAGGCGCCAAATAAAAAACTAATAAAATGTAACCTACGAAACGAAAGTACAAAAAACGCTATAGGCGTAAATAAAAAACAAAATAGAGAATTTTGACATATAAAAACTTAATAAGATTTGTAATTTCTAGATTGATACCGAAATCACATCATCAATTAAATTCTATACATGAATATTGAAATATTAATGGAAATTACAAAATAAGTACAACCTTAGACGCGCTACCAAATTTGCTATACGATTTAAACATTTCAAATCGAGGTAGATGTGCCGTGCATAGAACTTTACTGGTGCTAGGACCTCTTGCTCGTGCTTATTTCTGCCGTGAAGCAGTAATGCATTTCGGTTTGAAGGATGGAGCAGCCGTTGTAACTATACTGAGACCGTAAAATTTATATCTCAGGGTAAGTGGCGGCATTTACGTTGTAGATGTCTGTGGGCTCCGGTAACCACTTAACACCAGGTCAGCTCGTCCACCCAACTAAGCAATATATTAAAAAAAACTCGTAAATTGTTTTACATTTATTACCACAGGCTTTTTGTTATGATTGAAGTATTACTGGTGGCCCGGAGGTCTTTTCAGTTTCACCAGGACAGGTTTGCGAGCAAAGGCTCAGTCAGGAGGGGTGGGATTTGCTAACAACTGCCCGAGCGCCTCCACAGGAGACCTAACAACTCAAATTTGTGGTTTGGAGCCTCTGGGTCTGCGGAGGGACTTCGGTTCCCTCTGTATTTTGTACCGTATGTTCCATGGGGAGTGCTCTGAGGAATTGTTCGAGATGATACCAGCATCTCGTTTTTACCATCGCACCGCCCGCCACCGGAGTAGAGTTCATCCATACTACCTGGAGCCACTGCGGTCATCCACAGTGCGTTTTCAGAGATCTTTTTTGCCACGTACCATCCGGCTATGGAATGAGCTCCCCTCCACGGTGTTTCCCGAGCGCTATGACATGTCCTTCTTCAAACGAGGCTTATGGAGAGTATTAAGCGGTAGGCAGCGGCTTGGCTCTGCCCCTGGCATTGCTGAAGTCCATAGGCGACGGTAACCACTCACCATCAGGTGGGCCGTATGCCCGTCTGCCTACAAAGGCAATAAAAAAAGAAAAAAGAGAGCAATTGCTTCGCGAATGAATCTACTACCGGATCGGAATCGCGACCCGCTGGGAAGATCCGACGAGAAGCTCAACGAGCTGATGCATGGGTTAGGTTGCACGTCGAACTCTTTGTCAAGTTCGACGAGTACGGTTACCGGGGACCCTAAGCCTGCTCCGAGTGTTAGAGCTGAAGGCGTCTAATGCAAGAGTTACTGGATCTGATGGATCCGTAAGGACGTGTCTAGGGTGTCGACGGTGACTGGCTTCTGCATGAGCAGGATTTGGGAGTAGTCAGCTGCGGCAACCACACAGGCTATCATCAGTGAGCAGACGATTTGAATACAACCGACATTAATTGTCAATGCCCACCATGGACCCTCGATGGATGGACCATGGATGACCCTCGCGTCTCCTCTTGACCCTGCTATGTGCTGCATGTACAGGAAGTAGATTGACCGTTATTGCAATACGAGTGAGACTTTGGCGCGCACGTGTTTCAGCGGCAGCGCGCACGTTGTGCGTCTAAGCGCGCCGCTAACTACCCTCCACTGCGGATTCGTGAATAAATGAATGTTCCACGTCAAGTGATAATATATAGTCGGATTTTTTATTAGACGAAGTCAACTGACGTTTACTGTGTTGTCAGTTTTTGATGAAATAAAAATAGTGTTGTGACAAAGTGAACGATTGAAAAAACTCCTGAATTAATGAAATTGCGTCGATTGTCTAGTGAATAGTTGGTGTGCCGAAATGCCGATATCGGGTACGGGGTTCGAATTTTAGGCTTTCTTTGTACATACCAACGAGTTTTCGACGAAATATTATGTTCCTATAGTATCTACCTGTACTGAATACCGAGTGTTTTAAACATTAAGAAAAACATTGCGAGGAAGCTTGTAAGGCTGTCCTATTACAATACATCATTTAGTTGAAACTATAGATGTATAAAATATAACAATTAAAGGTAGGTAATGAAAATACAAAAAGTGATTGTAGTTACATACTACTAGTAACATATATGGGAGCACTTTAATACAATTTTATTGTAAAATATAAATAATATTCTTTTATAGTTTGAAATTAATGATTAACTCTTCACACTCATTGTTCATTCATGTGATTGAACGAGAACTGAACGCATCACTATTACTTTAAATATAGCAACATTATTTCACAAAGTGACATTAGCTACTNAATACAATTTTATTGTAAAATATAAATAATATTCTTTTATAGTTTGAAATTAATGATTAACTCTTCACACTCATTGTTCATTCATGTGATTGAACGAGAACTGAACGCATCACTATTACTTTAAATATAGCAACATTATTTCACAAAGTGACATTAGCTACTGTCAGCTGGCTTCGTCTAATTAAAAATCCGACTATAATAACATTCGTTTATTCGTTTTTCTACCTATGCTGATAGTCTTGAGAGGTTATTCCAGCTTCTCCTTGACGTGTAGGTGAGCTAACGAGGTTCAAACCGGAGTGTTGCTAACACTGGCCCTAGCGAGAGCAGTGCTTCGCAGAATCTATCCACGAAACGCGACCCACTGAGAAGATCCGGCGAGAAACTCAATGGGATAAAGCGTACTCTCGCTTACACTATTAGCTACCATGCACATGCTTCTATTGTTGAAACAAATTAGTTTAATAATAATCAAAACCGCCAACAGTTTCGTGGCGAAAACAAAAACATGCATAATTAAATAATACATCAAACTTTATCATAATTAAATGTCAAAATCGTGAATTAAACATGTAAGAAAAAAATANCATAATTAAATGTCAAAATCGTGAATTAAACATGTAAGAAAAAAATAACTTTACTAAACTAGAGATATCTATATGTACACCCTGTATATAATAATAGTAATAACAACCATACGGGGTCGTAGATATAGAGATCAATGGGTTTATAAATCCACCCTGTATAATTAGATGGATATTTCAGTAAAATGGCAAAATAAAATCATTGAAGCACACTCATTTTACTGAATATCTATCTTAAACCATAATAATTAATAATCTAAATAATAATCGTCTGCTGTTTCAGTGCAACTTAAATCCGAAGCGTTAATGTAATTATGATAGAACAACACTTGTAATTCCTACAACAGATACCATCGTATCAATAAAACATTTAACATTAGTTGTGCTCAACTTTCACTATCATTATTAGTAGTCAGAGTAAGTGATCGCTTGTGTAACACTTGGTTTACAAAATATCCTTTTTTAGAGTCCCTCGAATAATCCCATATTCAAGCCTTAGAGCGCGAAACGTCGATAAATCAACGGTCTATTAATGCGTATACAGTGCGGAGCGTCAGAATACCGACTATTGCGCAGTTTGAATATAGGTATTAAGTATTTTTAATAGCTTAATAACATTTATAAATAAACATTTAATATTGTTTTTGAAGTTTGAATTTAACAATGATTTTTGTATTTTTAAGTAAAAGTTTTATGAGGTATTTTTTTTTCGAAAATCCTTTAGCAATTACTTAAACACTAAAAGGGTTAATTAGTATCTCTAGGCATTCCACATCACGGGAAAAGTATGTGTGCCATCTACCAGACAATCGCTGCCGGTATTTGTTTAGGCATATAAATAGTATAGTTTTTTTTTATTGCTCTTGTAGGCAGACGAGCATACGGCCCACCTGATGGTGAGTGATTACCGTCGCCCATGGATGTCAGCAATACCAGGGACAGAGCCCAGCCCCTGCCTACTGTAATACTACTATATATAACGTAACTAATATAACTACTATATATACGTAATAGTATACTACGTAGTATAGTACAATACTACGTAAATATATAATATTATACTTATTGTATACCAATTAGTGTTATCTTTATTTTATATTTAGCGTATCTCAGAGAGTATTATCGAATTCTTTCGCCGTGCAATCATAATGTTAAGACTTGTGGACAAATTTTAATTATCGAAGTATCCAGAATGCAATCAAGATAAAAGTTTTTGCTGGTTTTGAAATTATCTTGACAAATTAATTTCGCATAAGCTTTTAATTGCATTTCACAGTTCGTCTGACATTAAGAAATGCCAAATCATGTTTTAAACATGAGGTCAAAGTCGACAATAACAACCGTTCTACCTTTCAAGCCAGAAATTTCGCTTCACAGTAAGAAATACAGGATGCTGATACCTACCCGTGCCGGCTCATTATATTCTTAACCATAAGATTTTACTATAATAAATACTGGTGGTAGGACCTCTTGTGAGTCCGCGCGGGTGGGTACCACCGCCCTGCCTATTTCTGCCGTGAAGCAGTAATGCGTTTCGGTTTGAAGGGTGGGGCAGCCGTTGTAACTATACTTGAGACCTTAGAACTTATATCTCAAGATGGGTGGCGCATTTACGTTGTGGATGTCTATGGGCTCCAATAACCACTTAACACCAGGTGGGCTGTGAGCTCGTCCACCCATCTAAGCAATAAAAAAAATGAAAAAATTAATAATTTTTTTGTCATCAATATTGATTGAATACTATTATTTTATCGTGAAATATTTCGTGTACACATGTCGCGGACTCTTTATCTTAGAATAATCGGTCTGCGGAATTTTGACACCCGTATCGAACGACGTTCTTTTATAGGAACTGACCGCTCTATAGATTTCAGTGTTCTGAGATTTTTCAAGTACAATTAGATAAATGAATATTTGACTTGTACTTAGATAAAAATTGAGCACATAAAACCGAAAGATTAGGGGGGTAGGTATTACAAGTGTCGTTCGCGCTGCACCCGAGTACACACATGCGGTTAATGGCGGTTAGGGCGCGTATAGGAAGGAGAGCGTGCGGACTGACTTCTTCTTGAGCGTGAAGAAGGAGCGTCGCTTGGGCTCGGCGTTGGCGGGCGCGGGCAGCGTGTGCGAGCGCGCGGCCGGCGCCTGCGTGCGCGCCCGCAGCGACTCCAGCCACCACGACATCTCCGCCTCGTCGTGCGCCTGCAGCAGGAACTCCGCGCCGCTCGACAGCCTGCAACACGTAAACACCCAACACTTTTAAGCGCGCTCTACACTCCCACCGAGACGCCTTGGCCAATTTTTTTATTTTTTTATTGCCCTTGTAGGCAGACGAGCACGGACCGTGTACCTAATAGGTAGGGGAAAAAACATTAAGTAAAGGGTACGTAATTAAATAACTGAATTTTATAACTAGTTAAGTCGCATTAAAGTTTAAATGGTCAATATGAAACTAAATAAAAAAATATTTTTAGAAAAAAAACAGGCTTGTATAGAAAGCCGAGCCAAACATTTTTTTTATTGCCCGTTTAGACAGACGAGCACACGGCCCACCTGATAGTACGTGGTTACTGTCGCCCCCATAGATGTCAGCAATACCAGGGGCAAAACCAAGCCGCGGCCTACCTTTTGCCAAGACATGACCACATCGAGAGCGTCCCTCCACATTCCCACTCACGCATTGCCCGTTTCGTGTGCTTAGTGCGAGTCTTATACCGTTCTCGATAGGCGTAAAAGTTAGCTCATATATTTGTATGGAATGGGATCGTTTGCCTACTTTTGCCGTTTGGGACTCTGGAATAATCGAGACGGCAGTGTGGAGGCCGCTTTACATTCATCCGTAGCAACGATACGATAAGTATTAATGTGCACGGTAAAGACAGAATAAAATTAACTAAAAATCGTAAAGAGATACCTAGTCACGATAATAATTATAATTCCATCAAAATAAAGAGCCACACTTTTAGGCATTACGTTACTACTTCTTTTATAATTTCTTTAGTACGGATTTATTCAAATTGAATCAACTATTTTCTATGGATTCATTTACCTAGTAGCGTGACAGGAAAATATGGCGAGTTTAATCGGAACACAATTGTAGTATGAATGAATATACATTACAAATGACATCCGCAACACAAGAAAAAAAATCAACCGCAAACATTTTTATTCAAAAAGTTTAAGGAATTTCGCCGAGACCAAAATATCTTCTCTATATATCTAAAGGCAACTATGCATTTAACGTCGTATTATCGATGTTCCATCGCCTTCACGTCTGAAGGAAGGAAGCGACGTCATCACAAGATCGACGGTAGTCTTCTATCCTGCACTAACACGAGGCACGCACCTGAGACGGAAGACGTGCTTCTTCTTGGTGTAGTTGGCTGCCACCTCTACGACCGCCCCGTTGAGGTCCAGAGGGCTCTCCCCGCGCCAGTACTGTTCCGGCGACGACTTGTAGCTCTTCTGGTCCTTGTAGAACGACATGCGGCCGTCTTTGGCCACAACGTAAAGCTTATCCCAAGACCTGTGCGAAGATAAACATTTGTTTTACTCATTGCTTAGATCGGTGGACGAGCTCATGGCCCACCTAATGTTAAGTGGTTACCGGAGCCCATAGACATCTACAACGTAAATGCCGCCACCCACCTTTGGATGAGTTTTAAGGTATAGTTACAACGGCTGCCCTACCCTTCAAACCGAAACGCATTATTACTCACAAGAGATCCTACCACCAGTTTTATTTTGATTATCAAAGTTATTGTAGTACGATCCGTATCTTAATAACAAGCAGCGGCTAAGTAAAGTGAGGAGATGTGATGTAATATTAAAGCAATATCTAATTTTATTAATCTTTACCATATGGTGAATTTAAACATTATAATTTTATTTTATTTTTGAGACTGAATTACTATTTTAATATATTTATAATTAATGTCCGTAACACAAAAAAATAAAGAATGGAAGGTTATCATAGTGTGGGTGTGTTATGCGAAAAGAACGATCGTATGGCCAAAAAGATCCTGGGTGTGAATGTAGACTCTAATGTGAGGAGAGGACATCCTAAAATGACTTGACAGTCTGTATAAAAGGGATGGTGTGAGTGTAGAGATGACGTATGATAGACCTGAATAAAAAAGAGGGCATTCTGCACCGACCTCACTTATTCGAATAAGGGTAAGAAAAAGAAGAGTGCATTGCTATTTTAAGCTCGTGGCATGCCGTGAGCACTCCCAAGTCAGTAGGTAGGCAGCGGCTTGGCTCTGCCCCCGGCATTGCTGAAGTCCATTGACGACGGTAACCACTCACCATCAGGCGGGCCGTATGCTCGTCTGCCTACAAGGGTAATCTATACTAATATTATAAAGCTGAAGAGTTTGTTTGTTTGAAGGATCTAATCTCAGGAACTACTGGTCCGATTTGAAAAATTATTTCAGTGTTAGATAGCCCATTTGTCGAGGAAGGCTATAGGCTATAAAATCACGCTAAGACCAATGCAAGCGGAGCACCAATAAATAATGTTTCAAAATCGTTTTTTTTTCCTTTTGAGAGCATCCGCTGCGTGCGCTGCGGAAACGGTTAAAGTTGGGCTAAAGTAATGTATGAGAGAATTGTTCCCCTTTAAAAGATCTAAACAAAAGTCTGCGACAGCATATGCTTATATATTAAGGTTGGGTGGTAAGAGGCGGGTAAAATTTAGCGTTATGCCAAAGTAACTATTCCACGCGGAAGAAGTCGCGGGCAAAAGCTAGTAAAAAAAAATATCCGCGGAAGAAGTCGCGGGTAAAAGCTAGTAAAAAAAATATCCATAGATTACTTACCGATTAGAAGCCCGTTTGGCGGCGGATTCCCATTCGTGTTTCCGTACCAGAGTTCCCTCGACCCCTTCATCTTCGCTGGCTGGACTGGCTCCCTCTAAACATCACATTTCATTAACCAAGATTCACAATGAAGGCCTGACACGCTCACACGACGACATCAGAATAATAAAAATCGATGAAAATGCGATAATATCGACGTTCGTGTACTCCCCTAAGACTCAGGGGGGTTGGGGGAGGGGGCTGCGAATAAAAAAATTAGGACTTTTCCATGAAAATCGTTCCTTAAATATAATACCTTCGATATTGATTCCGTTGACATCGTTATACATTTACGATCTCGTGATGATAGGTTTGATACGAAACTATCTTAAGCATGTTCCTGTTTAAGGCAGTGAAAGTCGTTCATGTAAAATTGTGTTTTATTGCAACGTCGTTAAACTTATATTAACATGCGCTAACAACACAACAGCACACGCAAAGCTGGAGGACGCGGACATTCCACAGAAGTGGCGGGTCGTTGTCGCGGATGGAATATTGGATAATATAAAAAATACTTTTTAAGATATTTCAAACTTTACAATCGTTGGCATAATAACGAAGGGTGGAAGGTTATTGGTTTATGCGACATTTATCTTTGTTATTAAAGGTGCACTTTTATTTAGTATTAGCATCAATAATTCGATGTTTTTAATTGATCTTCAATTAAGTTTTACTCTATTCAAATAGCTAAATAAGGTTTTTATAGATCTTTTTTTTTAAATTTCAAATGGCTCTACTGTAACGTTGCAAAAATTTCGCTAAAGCCAAACAGCCTATCACTCCTCGATATTAATGGGCATATCCGCATTTTTTATTATTTGTGTGTTTCTAGAATTATTCCAATCTTTCCTTCAAGTAAGACTAATTTCTTTTTAATTGTCAAATAATGTATCATCAATTGAAAATATTAGATTTCAAATGACTCTACTGCAAAGTTACAAAAATTTCGCTTATGCCAAACAGCCTATCACTCTTCGATATAAAGGGCATATCCACATGGTTTTCTTTATTATTTATGTTTGTCTATAATTATTCCAATCGTTCCTTCAAGTAAGACTCATTTCTTTTTAATTGTCAAATAATGTACTTATCATGAATTGAAATTATTAGTTACTACGAGTATAAACATTAATTTTTTATAGATTCTTAAACGAATTTAATTTCCATCCGCGACACTCTGCAGCCACGTTTTATACCTTCGTCGTCGCTATGATGGGAGCCCGCGATCAGCTTCTTGGCGGTGCGCCACCTGAAGCTCCTGAAGGGGGACTTGCTTCGCGACCGCGACTTCACCTTACCGGAACTCGAAGGCGTGGCGGGCGACGAACTCGATCCAGGGGCTAATCCGTGAATCCGGGGCAAGTGGTAGGGGATTTCAGCGGCATAGCGGGGCAAAGGAAGAGGATCATGGTTGGGTAATGCATTTTTTTTTTTCGTAGTAATACCGAATTGGACAAGTTTGAATAACATCGTGTGCATCATGACAGGATTTACGGATCAAAACGGGAATGAGGTAGGAATGAAACAAAAAAAAAAATTTTTTCAAAGCAACACAAAACAAAATTTGCGGTTCGCAGCGAAAACAAAAGCATTTTCATTCCAAAGGAATTTGATAAAATTTACATTAAACAAATTTATTGTACGGTACAAAAACACAGATGTTAATTTATAATACTTAATAACATGCATTAGAAGTTAACGAACATTCTACATCGTTATTCAACATTAATACTCATTTTAAAGCAAAAACATTCACTTACATGAGCTGTGATTCAAATTAGAATAATGAGACGGACAAATTCTAAGAAAGAACTAAAATATTTTTTTTTTAAAAATCGTGAATTATTCAAATTTAAAGCATAACTCGATTGTTCCAAACATTGATTTGTATAGGGATACTCACTGGAGAGGCGTGCGGGTTTAACCGGTGTTGGTTTCGACGTGGACTGTTGGGGGGAGGGCGGTGCGGGGGCGGCGGGGTCAGCGGGGGCGGCGAGGGCGGCGGGGTTCGGGACGGAGCTCGCCTCTGCATGCCGACACAACTACGTGCTAGTTACGACTACACTACGTGCTGGGACATGCCAACTACTAACTCTACATGCGTCCTATTACTATGCGCGCGCATCGGTCCATGGACTACAACCTCCGTCTCTCACGTCCAACTAAGTGAGTTTAGAGTGCTTGTTGAACTGATTTAAAATTTAAATCTTAATATGTCCTGAATAGTATCTTTACCGTATTTTGTTACTACAAAATGAGTAGATATAAAAAATATAATATTTATAAATGTACTTTTAAAAAAAGTTAAAAATACACTCGCATAGTCAAATTATAAACATTACATGCTACATTCTTTTGCATAATTCTGTATTTGAGTTAAAATTTATTTAAATTAAATTGTAGGTTTTAATATGTTTCCAGTTCCAAATAATTTATATTTCAAATGACTAAGCACCTTATCCCTCACCATGAAATATAAGCAATTGAATGACTACAAATGTTTACAATTAACGTAATCCTTTTATTTATAAACGCACAAGAAGCTAAAAGCCATGCACATATTGATATATGTATATATAAATGTATATAAGCAAGTTATGAAATAGAATAGTACATGAAATAGATACACCTACCTTATACATTTTTTTTTAAATCAGCTCCTTTATAGAAAACACTTAATTGCACTAGCTAGCGTAAATATAAAATACAAAGAGAGACAGGAAGACATGAAAAAGACACAGTATCAAACCATCACCGTATTTAGCTTATTACTTATGGCGGACATATGGAAAATGTTACGTAAAAACTTCAATTTTGTTTTTAAAGATGAACGTGTGAGACATGAAATAAGAAAGAAAAAAACAATCTAAAGACATATGAATGAAACGTGTGAATTTTAAAATTGATGGATATAGGATGGATGATGAGATTAAAGTGATGAAACAAATAAACCATCACCTCTGCAGTGAAAGGAAACAGTGTGTAACCAATGTGAGATGTACATACAAATCGTGCAGCAAGTAAGTGCTCAATTTAAACTACGTTATCAAAATAACCTATTAAAATTGAAATGGGTGTCCTACAAATAACAAACACTAGTAAGAAAATAATACCGACAGTCAGAAGCTGGTATAAAGCTGTAAATTCATTTAATCACAGTTATTTCTAAACCCCCCTTAATAAAAGTGGCGTATTATGAGCGCAGTGTTACCCGACAAAATTGAAAATACACCCGTCAACTACCGTACAATGAAGCTCATGCCAACCGCCTGGCGATGCTATACATCTGTCAAGTTTATAAACAAGCGCTCTTATTACCTGGCTGGGAATGGGGTCGCTCTTGGGCCTTCTCAGCCGCTTTAGTGGACGTTCTCCTTACGACTACGCGGGTGCATGTGTGGGACAACACATCGGTAAATAAATGCCCTTATAATATAATCATAAACTGTGCTCGACCGATGGCGAATACGCGAAATTATACCCTAGCTTGATATGTAAATAAGGACGTTTATCGTTGAGCACTCGACATGAGAGCGTAATATTATTAGCACACAAAGCGGCAAGCGTTGCCGTGAGCAAGTAAATTTTGTGCTTTATATCGTTGCCGTAAAGTTCGATTCATCATGTAGAACTGCCGAGATTTAATTAAATTTATTGTAGAATGCAAGCAGCATCCGCCAGTTACGGCGGAAGTTAGTGGAAAATATCGTTTAGATTCGTATAGTACTAAAGTGTGCTGAAGACATTACACATGCGTGCTTACATTGCAATTCATGTGACCGAGTGAGATGTTAATTTTGATAGAATTAGTTCTGTTCTGTGTTTTTGATTGCTTTCGGTAATTATCATCAACAATACTATAACTCTTGTTCAACTCTGACGTCATGTATTAAGGTTCATTTTAATTGATGACGATGACGGGTGGACCATCTCGAATTAAGACTCATTTAAACGGTATATACATCAAAATAGACATGTTTATCTCTATCAACATGCGTGTATGCGACTCGTTATCGTCCATACCTGATACCATGATATGTCCTAATACCTATTGGTTTTAGTTAGAACTAATCAAATCATGTGACCGCCTTGACACCACGAGCAGCGACTTTTGTTGCTGTGCTCATCAAACAATGCTCATCACCCGCATAGCATTGATCACGACCCATCTAGAGATATGAGACGAAGCCCTGTTCACCCATCCTACCGGGATTTCGATTGTGACGCAGTAGAATAATCGATGTCCGCTTTAGTTACACGGACGTATATTTTAATTAGCATGTCCTTGTAAGGAGTCCACGTATGATAACTAGAGGTCGGAGTAGGTAGGTTGATTTAAGGTCGTTGACGTCAAACGTAGAGGATAATATGGATATGCCACCAAAATACCGACCGGAATTTCATATTTATTGTGATATTTGTTCTGGAATTTTGAAATTAGCATGAATCTGTGTTTAAGGTAAAAAACGTATTAATAATATTAATCTACACTATCAGTGCTAGCTAATGGTGAAAGAAATCAGTATTTTATTTTATACAAAAACGCCTTGGAATAGTTACACCGTATTTTGTCCCTTGCTGTTGAATTAGAAATTACAGTATGAGACAAAACTTAGACAGGGCTTTTTGTTACTTGATCTCATAAATATAGAAATTGTATCCGATGAAGATTAAAAATTTGTTTTTTTCAATTTAAAAAAACTATCATTATGCATAAAATGTCATGTCCATATTATAATATCTTGACGCAAGTATATAAAATCAATCTACCTACTCCGACCACTGGCTGATAACACTGTTAATTACTGAATGGGCGAGAGCACTAGGGCGGGCGACGCGGTAGAGTACGGGAGGGCGGTTACCGTTGGCGGCGGGCTGCTCGTGCGGCGTGTCGACGCGGTCGAGCGCGTCCTGCGCGGCGGCGGCGGCGGCGGCGGCCTCGGCGGCTTCGCGCTCCCGCTTCTCGCGCTCCGCCGCTTCGGCCGCTTCCTGACGACGCTTCATCTCTTTCACTTCGAACTGGAATTACAACAGTGCAATTATTAGTTTTTACGATTCAATATATCAACAAATCTTCAAAATTTTATCAGTTAAAAGCGTGCAATAGACAGTACCGAATTGTTGAAAGCAGAATTTTTAATGCGTGCACATGCGAAAAGCGAAGCGAACGCTTTAAAGACCAATCACCACACTTACACCATCTAAGTAGTTAAAGTACCATGCACCTTCGGGACCAATGAAGTGTCTGGTCTGGGACAGGAGCGGGAGCGAGGAACTCAACGGAATGTTTTTGACCTCTTTGCCCAGATCGTTAATCACGTCGTTGCTTTCACTCAGGCCGGGCAACGACAAGACGGCTACTTCACCGCTGAGCTCAGAATCGACCGGTTTAATTTTCTTCGATAACCTCTTGAAGACACGTTTTATACTACTTTTCGAAGAACTACTTTTCGATCTCAACAATGAAACGTTCGGATAGACGCCCTGATAGAACAGTCTCTCCCACAATATGAAGTCGATGCAAGATAAACGATCGTCAGGTTTTTCCCTTGCGTTCGTGTACATGAAGAACACCGAGCTGTATATGTCCGGAGTAGCGGGCGACATGGGAGCCGAGCTGGACTCCGATATGGTCGAGAGGCTGTTCCTTGCGACGTTCCACAAAAACGATTCGTTTTTTTTAATCGAATTACTCGATGAATCCGAATTGACGATTTTAACTTTGAATTTCTCTGGCAACTGGTATTTGCCGCTGTTGATTATGATCTCTCTGACTACTTCGCCCACTTGGGGACTGTGCTGTTCTATGGTCAGGGTGAGGGGCGGTTTCGTGAAGGAGGGGGCGGGGTGGTGATAGACAAACTCGGACTCGTCACATGCGTCCCAAGGCTGTTCTTTTGGCCATAGTGATACTTCACGCCTTTCAAGCTAGTGATAAATAAGAAATGAATTAGTATGTATAGAATAGTCAAAAGGTGCTTAAAGAAACTTAATGATGAAACGGATTATATGAACTATTCCACCATCAATTGATAACATTTCATTATTCTTAATTTTCAAAAATTATTTTTTGATCAATTTACTTCAAAGAGAAACTAAGCAATTTGTACTGTGGTATTGTAGTAGTAGGACTGTAAGCAGTATAGAATAGAATATATTTGATTGAAACTTGAATTGCGTTAACGAAATTTTCATAAGTATGTATATAATACATATACAAGTTCCTGCCAATAAATAATATTTGGACCGTCGGTCTATCGAGCAATATCGCAAGCTCTATAAGATCTATAGATATAAATTCTAATAATTTTATTAGAATAAAATAAATCTATACTAATAGTCTTTCCTTCATTTTTTTTTAACACAGAAAATACAGAATTCTCTTACTGTACCCCTACGTTTACCGCTAGGGGGCGCTGTTCCAACTCCATACAAATTTGAATTAACTTTTACACGATCGACAAGTTAAAAAATTCACACTGGGCTCTGAAGTTAATTCTACAAGGTTCTATGTTGGGTCGGGAACTTCGCTACGTAACCGTATAGATGACGTAATTTGGAGACTTACGCCTTTTTTAATTTGAATCACCCGGATTTTCTATTTTATAGTTTAATAGAAATATTGAAACGTTGTCAATTGGATGTGTTACAAGGTATAGAGTTGTGTTATATCAACACAATTTTTTTATGTTTGCTCATACCATGCAACGGACGATCTCTTATAAATGCCCTTAAATAAAATGAATCACGAGTACTTAACGCACAAATACTTCGTAAAATACAAAGAAAACACAATTCACATTCTAATGAAAAAAAAAAAAAACGTGCATAACAAATGCAAGATACATGTATAGTTGCAATGCAATTCTACAAATTTATTTAAGCTGGCGCGGATAACTATTTGCAAAATACCAAGTCAATACAATTCACATTCTAATTTAAAAAAAAAACACGAGCATAACAAATTTAGTGGTAAGCAGCGGGTTGGCTCTGACCCTGCCATTGCTGAAGTCTATGGGCGAGGGTAACCACTCACCATCAGGTGGGCCGTATGTTCGTCTGCCTACAATGGCAATAAAAAAAATAATGAGAGATACATTTATAGTTGCAATGCAATTCTACAAATCTATTTAAGCTGACGCGGATAATTAACTAGTGTAACATATGTCGTCGCGTTCAATTCGAGCACTCGATGCAATGTTTCAATGTACCCGTATTCAAATAACCAAATTACGACAAATTATGTTAATTAATTATACGCGACAGTATTTCTATATTTCATAGTATTTCTATATTCTATATTTCAGTGAATCCACAACCAAACCGATAAGCTGTACAACCCACACCGGAATAACAAAACAAAAGCACCCTTTACAACATCAAATAAATCAATAAACTAATTCTACATTTAATTTGTTTTTTTTTTATTATTGCTTAGGTCAGTGGACGAGCTCACTGCCCACCTGATGTTAAGTGGTTACCGGAGCCCATAGACATCTACAACGTAAATGCCGCCATCTACAACCTATAGTTACAACGGCTACCTCACCCTTCAAACCAAAACGCATTGCCGCTTTAAGACAGAAATAGGCAGGGTGGTGTTACCTACCGTGTGGATTCACAAGAGGTCCTACCACCAGTAATTACACAAATTATAATTTTGCGGGTTTAATTTTTACCACACGATGTTATTCCTTCACCGTGGAAGTCAATCGTGAACCTTTGTCAAGTATGTATTTCATCAGAAAAATTGGTACCCGCCTGCGGGATTCGAACACAGGTGCACCGCTACATGCGAACGCACCGGACGTCTTATCCTTTAGGCCACGACGACTCCCTTTCTTAATTTGAACTCGTTACTTTTCCGTTTAATCATCCCACTTACGGTGGTGAGTCGCTGCAGAGCGCTGAACCGGTCCTCCTGTGCCGCTGCGGATTTCTCGAAGGCCTCGTGCTTCTTGATGAGGCTCTCGACCTCGTCGATGGTGTGCCCCAGCTCCTGCGACATGAGGTAGGGCTCCTGCGCGATGAGCCACGCCTCCGCCACGGCCGCGTCGCGAGCGAACTGGTACACTTCCAGTACTGCACGGGACGCAAGTGTATTTATTGTCACTCGTTATTGTCATGTGTAACACTTACGATCACAATATCGAACTTCACATAAACATGAGGGCGATTCGAGTTATAATACTGCTTAAAGTGAATTGTTTTAGATATAATCATCTCTCGAATTTAAGGACACGAATTTTTTTTTTTTATTCTTTATTAGTACCATACACCTGTTAGGTTAAGTCGGCTAAATACTTTTTATATTAAACTAAATTAATGACTTACAAAATCGCTATAGTTTTTTTTTGTCATAAAATAACTACAAATATGTTGTAATTCACATCGTAATTTATATAAAGCAACCTCGATATAACAAACCGGAAGGGAACAAGTACCTAAATATTCGTTATATCAAGTAAAAGTGTTAGATCAAGGTTAGGTTGGTCTAACATTTGTTATAATGAGGTACAAAAAAATTGTTCTATTGACCACAACATTACGTTATATCGAACAACTTCAACTAATAAATGATAACACGTTTTTATCAAATTACTGTATGCATTTACTATTTAAAAACAATTAGGTAGGTAATGATATTTTTCAAACCTGTCGAGACTGATTAATTGGTGGGAACGTTATACAAAAGTTTTGGGTTGACAAAATTTGTTAATTAGAGGTATTTTTACACTTTTCCTGTTAGTTGAAAATTCGTTATAAAGAGGTTGTTCGCAAGAAATCTTCGCAATGTAAAGATATATAATATTTTACATTATGGACAATTCAAGGGAATAACAAAGAATTTGTTAAATCGAGGACGTCGTTATATTCAGAATCATTATATTATTAAGGTTGCAATGTATAAAAACAATTTTTTTAATTACTAAATTGTTTTTTTTTTTATTTCTAGATGGGTGGACGAGCTCACAGCCCACCTGGTGTTAAGTGGTTACTGGAGCCCATAGACATCTACGACGTAAATGTGCCACCCACCTTGAGATATAGGTATCAAGTATAGTTACAACGGCTGCCCCACCCTTCAAACCGAAACGCATTACTGCTTCACGGCAGGAATAGGCAGGGTGGTGGTACCTACCCGCGCAGACTTAAGTCGTTCTACCACCAGTAACTATGCAAAATACACACGATGTACACGATTACTCTTCCAAATCAAGAATCGTGGACCACAGTTTTAAAATTCGAAATATTAAGGATTTTATTTAATAAAAACATTAGTTACTGAGTTGCAAGTTCTCCCAGCGTTCTTCCCAGCGTCGCAGCAGGGCATTCCTTTGATTCGTCAGCTGCAGTAGCTTCTCCTTGATGTCCGCGGAGGCGTAGTGTTGGCGCGCCAGCAGCTCCTTCCCGAGCGAGATGCAGGCCGAGAAGTTGTCCTCGCGCGTGTCGATCTCCGCCTTCAGCGACTGGTGGTTGTTCATCAGAAGCTCGACGCCGCTCACGTCTCTGTGGACCGCTTCCGTAGTCAGTAATGGACTTTGTTGGAACATACGAACAGACGAGATTGCGGCTCGCCTTTTTTTATTGCCTTTGTACCACGGGGGTGAGATGTCAGCTTAGTGCCCAATTTTTCTTGGATGATGACGGAATAAAGGGTGCAGGGCGATATGCCGGTGATGTGTAGCACAACTGATTTTTATTAATTTGTGACATTTATATATAGGGGAGGAAAGTCCTCGAATGGAGGCCACGGATGGGTACAAGGAGCGTGGGGCGTCCTCCAACCAGGTGGACTGACGACTTTGTGCGCACGGCGGGAAGTCGTTTGGATGCGGAAGGCGGAGTACCGCATTATGTGGAAGGCATTGGGGAAGGCCTATGTCCAGCAGTGGGCAAATAAAGGCTGATGATGATGATGATGATATATAGGTAAGCGTACATTTAAATTAGTCTGGTGTATTGCTCCTTTGCTTATGTTGCTTCTTGCTTGCTGATTAAAAACAAATTTTTTGTTTGTTTCTCTAGTGTTTTAATTTATTTATATTGGTGAGAACCTTTAATTGGCTTTTTGTTTCTATCATTGTTATATTATTATACTATGTTAGTTGGCTGTTGGTTCTCCTTGTAATAAATAAATGCAAGTAAGTAGCTAGAACTGTTTGGAGGGTGATTTTTTTATGATTGAAAGATTACTGGTGGCCTGAAGGCCTTTCCAGTTTCACCAGGACAGGTGGGCGAGCAAAGGCTCAGCCAGGAGAGGTGGAATTTGCTAACAATTGCCCGAGCGCCTCCGAAGGAGACCTAACAACGCAAGAGCAATTGCTTCGCGAATGAATCTACTACCGGATTGGAATCGCGACCCGCTGAGAAGATCCGGCGGGAAACTCAGCGAGCTGATGCATGGGTCAAAGGGTGATGTGAGGAGTGTGAGCGGCGGCGCGTACCTGGGCTTCTCGCCGGTGTTCATCTGTCGCACGACGTCGTCCATCCAGAGCGTGAGCGTGCGGACCTGGCTGAGGAAGCGGTACAGGCGGTCGGCGTCCTCCAGCTTGGCGCGGCGCGCGCGGCACGCGGCCTGCAGCGCGGCCCACGCGTCCGCCACCTCGCGCTCGCGCCGCGTGATCTCCGCCGCCTTCTCGCCCGCGTACGACGCGCCCAGCCGCGAGCACTCGCTCTTTATGGACTCCACCTGCAGCGGGGCGGCTCGCTCACAACTCTACTCTATGATCCGATACTGTAGGGTCCGCACGGGCAGGTATCACCACCCCGCCTATTTCTGCCGTGGAGCAGTAATGCGTTTCGGTTTGTGGCGCATTTACGTTGTAGACGTCTATTGGCTCCAGTAACCACTTAATACCAGGCGGGCTGAGCTCGTCCACAAATCTAAGCAATAAAAAAAATGCGTTATTATGCCTTTTTTTATTGCCCGAGCAGGCAGACCAGCCTACGGCCCACATGATGGTAAGTGGATACCGTCTCTCATGGACTTCAGCAATGCCAAGAACAGAGCCAAGCCGCTGCCTACCACTAGTGTTCGTAGTACAAATAAAATTACGAGTCGTGAAATTCAAAATACCACAAGGTCGTTTCTCAAACTCTCTTGTACAATTGCTCGAATCAACAAAATTATTATTATTATTATAGATATTGTTTCAGTCGAAACATGAACTTCATTGTCAATTTTTTTTTTATTCCCCAGTTTCTCATCTATTTTGTATGAAGTTAGGTTAATCGCGGCACCTGCTGCTGCAGCGTGGTGAGGTCCTGCATGAAGTTGTGGTGCTTGCGCTGCAGCGCGGACACGCTGATGGCGTCGCGGCCGAGCTCGTCGCTGACGCCGCGCGCGCGCTCGTTGACGCGCTGCAGCGTGTCCTTGCAGTCGTGGAAGTACTTGTGCAGCTCGCGGGACGCCGCCAACATCTTCAAATAGTAAAAAAACATGCATTAGGAACGTATACTTTTTTTTTTCTATTGCTGGATATAGGGCTTAATATATAATATTATATACAGTACCAGGCCATAAATATTGCACATCGATACTCAAAAAGAGACAGTCGTCTAATTTTGTTTTTGTTGTAGAACGTTACCTGTGTGCGACGAAACACTAACGATCCGGTAATAACGGTATCTATGGAGATTAACAGCCTGGCCACGGGACATTCGCCGATACGAATATTCGCGCGGTGCGAACGGCGAAGCGTCTAGCGACTAAAATAAGAGCATAGAAATGTACCTAACAAGCCACGCGCACCGGCGACCGGCGAAGCGACCGGCGGAATGTACCGAGCGAATCGCGCGGGCGACTTACGATGTGGCGGGCGAGCAAAACAAATGCATGAATAAGGACGGCGCAAGCCACGGAGTCGAGCGGTAGTCGCGGCGAATAGTGCAGTGATTAAATGAGTTTAGTTGTTTTCGCCGCGAAAAATTAACGCCGAAATTTTTATATTTTTTATTTATTTTTTATTTTATATTTTTAAAGTCGTCGTGGCCTAACGGACGTCCGGTGCAATCGTGTTGAGCGATGCACCGGTGTTCGAATATCAGGCGGGTACCAATTTTTGTAATGAAATACGTACTCAACAACACTCAACGTTCACGATTGATTTCCACGGTGAAGGAATAACATCGTGTGATAAAAATGAAATCTTCAAAATAATAATTTGCGTAATTACTGGTGGTAGGACCTCTTGTGAGTCTACACGGGTGGGTACTACCACCCTGCCTATTTCTGCCGTGAAGTAGTAATGCGTTTCGGTTTGAAGGGTGAGGCAGCCATTATAACTATACTTGAGACCTTAGAACTTATATCTCAAGGTGGGTGGCGCATTTACGTTGTGGATGTCTATGGGCTCCAGTAACCACTTAACACAAGGTGGGCTGTGAGCTCGTCCACCCATCTAAGCAATAAAAAAAAATTAGCTGAAATACTAGCTAGACCAGCTATTTGGAAGTCTAGCCACCCAAAGTATTTCTCGTACTTCTTGTGGAATTCTCCATCTATAGGTATACTCCGATTCTTATTCAAATCATGTAATTCACAATCTTTTCCAAATAATAGGTCCTGAACCAAAAAACTATTAATTTGTAAGCAATATCGAGATAATTTCGATATAGACATTTCGCTGTCGGACTTCCTTACTAGTCGCGGCGGCGAACGTGAGTACCCGTGGCCTGCAAACGGTGCTGCGCGAATGGTCGCCTCGTCCACCGCTTCGCCGTTCGCACCGCCGATCCCCGTGGCCAGGCCGTAAATGTCACTTAGGTAATGTGCGACAGATATAACGCTCTACGAAATTAAAAGCTCGTCCCACGGGCGATGTGAGAATATTTATCGCAGAGTACTGTATTATATAGTATTATACTTATTAAAAAAATACACCGCTTGACACAAGTCTCACTAAGTAAATGACGGACACTTGACATAAATAATAAATCAATTAACGGCATCAAGCTAGAGTAAGAATGCCGAGACTAATGTTCGCATATAATATATATCTATTAACAATGATATTGTCTTGGACCTAAACTCGAATTCAGATTAATGGTACAGCATTCTGTGTCGCTACTAGACAAATGATACGATCCAATAAGTAAATTGCATATTACTTTAACGTAAATACCACGGGCCTATAAATCTTCATGATATTCTATTATAATACCTGTGTCCTAGTCTCGATGAGCTCGAGGAGGTCTTGCCAGGTTTCCTTGAGGCCCTCCTTCCATTGCGCGATGGTGGCGTTGTCAGAATGTCCCATGGCGATCATCTGGTCGGCGATACGCTCGGCCGTGCCGACTCGCTCCGAGCCCACCGACTGGGTCTCGCGCGCGAATTCCTTGAAGCGTTCCCACAGCAGCTGCAACCAAAAAGAACTTTTATGGTACCTCTGGTTCTTAGCTTTGCTTTCATCATCACCATTCCCGAATAGCGTCAGCACTTATGATCCTTTATTAGAGAACAATTCCCTCCCTAGTCAGTCAGTCCTATTCCTAATTCCACAAGGCACGGTTGCCGTCATTGTCGTCGTAAGTCTTTATATGTCTATTCCATCTAAAAAAATTATTAAATTTCTTTTCTCAATTCCGCATAACAGAGCGTTATAAATGTGTTAAGCAATGTGAATTATGAAATGTATTTTGCAGCTGAAATTGTTGTACAAATTTGTATTGCACTAGAGATCAGTCTTTCCCAATGCGGGCGCTGCAGGCCTAAAAGGGGGCGGTAAGAGACCCAGAAAAAAATTGAGGCATTGAGGCTTGGGAGGGGATTTGTAATTTCGTCTAGGAGGGCTCTCAGACACTGACTGAGCTCTCTCTATAACGGTTTTTAAGTAAGTAAAAAATGAGCAGTAGATAAAGTGGGCAGTAGATAAAATAAGTTTGGGAACCTTTGCGCTAGATGGATGAACTAGCTCCACAGTCGTTCTGTTAAGTGATTATTGAAACCCATAGACATNGCATTGAGGCTTGGGAGGGGATTTGTAATTTCGTCTAGGAGGGCTCTCAGACACTGACTGAGCTCTCTCTATAACGGTTTTTAAGTAAGTAAAAAATGAGCAGTAGATAAAGTGGGCAGTAGATAAAATAAGTTTGGGAACCTTTGCGCTAGATGGATGAACTAGCTCCACAGTCGTTCTGTTAAGTGATTATTGAAACCCATAGACATTAATTTGGCCACTCGTCTTACTGCATGCTCGCTTGTACCCCCAGTTGTCCCCCGTTCAAACGGGAACACATGACTACTGCATAGCGGTAATATGCAGAATAGAAGGGTTTACACGTGTGAGCTTACAATACACCTTACCACTGGTGTTAAAATCTAAATAATTGAATAAACATGAAACAGACCGTGACATGATCGTAGTCTTGTCCCAGCTCCTGGCTGCTGGCGACGAGTTCCCTCTCTGTGATCCATTGTTCAAGGTCATCGACCTCGCGGGATAATTGGAATAATCGTAAAGCTTCATCCAGCTTGGCTCGTCTCTCGCCAGCCAAGTCCTTCAGTCCTGCATACAACTTGTCTACTTGCGATTGTTTCACGGAAATTTGTTCACTGTGGAAAAATATTTCATGTTAAACTTCATCTTAAATCACAACAATCTTATACCAACTTAACTACAAATTTTGAATTACTTTAAACATACTATAGTTGATGTCCCTTAAAAATTTTGACAAGTAACCATAATAAGGAAATTATGATTTACAAAATACAATTATGTTGCTATTAGATAATATGGTCCTACTGCTGCCATACATGAGGCAAAGTTGGATGCAATTCTTGCTTATTATTACTGGCCGAAGTGTATACAAAGAATGAAATAACAGACTATGTCATGTCGCCAGAGATATTTAGACACCGTGAGTTGATGAGTAAAACTGACCTGAGTGGATGTTCTTCGGCAGTGAGCTGCCTAACAGTCTCTCCCAATTGACGGATAGTCTGCGCGTAATCGTCGACAGCTTGCTCCAAAATCTCGTGTTTCTTCATGAGGTTCTGCGCGGAGATCTCATCCTTGCCTCGATCTTCCACCATCATGTAGAGTTCCTGTTCGCTCATCCAGGCTTCCGCTTCGTTCGCATCGAACAGGTACTGGTGCGCTTTCTCCCATTGCGACAGATTGTTCTTGCGTTCCTCGATGGCATCTGAAGTAAAAACCGGGATAAATATATCTCATTAAGATGCATGCTTTGGATGATTGAAAATGGAACTTACCCTTAAGTTCTCGCCACCTCGCAGTGAGCTCGTCAATAAGCTGTTTGAATTCGGGCGAACTTTCGTGTCCCTCGTCAATCAGCTTCTGTCCGTTAGAGATGACCGTCAGAATCCTGGGCTCGTGGTTGTCGGTCTCCGTCTTCAGCGACTGAGTCTTTTTCTGCAACATTTGCACGTTGAACAATGAGTTACCGTAGTCGGTGCTTGTGGCCAGAGGCATCTTCTCCTGGACCCACAGCTTCTCGTCTTCGACATCACGACGGAACTGGAAGGCTTCCTTCTTCTTGGCAAGGTGACGTTGGCGTTCGAGTAATGGCGCCTTGAGTTGTTCGAATCTATGCTCAACAGTCTTCTTCTTCTCCTTGATCTCTTCCATCTTGTCAGGCACGGTCTTCTGCAGGTATTCCGCCTGAGTTTCCAGTTCCGTAACCTGTTTCGCCTTCACTGCCATCTGGGTCTCGATCATCTGTTGCTTCTGCATGAGAATATTGACGGAGGCCAGATCGCTACCGGTATCGGTGCTCTGTATTTGCTTCTCAAGTTCGTTCATCCATGAGTCAATGTCGTCGCAAGTTTGGTGAAGCAGCACTTCCCTGTTGGCGTCGAAGAGCCTCTCGCCCTTCTCCTTGGTGGTAGTCTGCAAGTTTTCAAACTGATCTTGGAGTTCGTGCATCTTGGGGGAAATTACTTCAACGAATTCCGGTTTCTGCTTCATGAGCTCTTCAGCGGCATTCTGCACAGCGAACAGTCGTTCTTTGTTGGCCGCAATTTCAGCTTCGAAAGCCTGATGACGGGTCCACTTAGAGTGGATGGTCTTGGCGGAGCGGTAGGTATCGTCTTGTGCGGTAACGTTCTTCTCCTGAACCCATTCTCCAAGTTCGTCGCAGTCCTGCAAGAACTGGTGCAACTGAAGCTGGTCTTGGAGCTTCTCCATGAGGTTAAGTGCCTTTTCGCGGTTGGCATTGCGGCGTGCCTCGATGTTCTCCGCCTTGCGCTGAATCTTGTCCGCGTCGAAGTGCCTCTCCTCGACGAGGCGATTAGCGAACTGCACTACTGAATTGATCTTATCGTCATTAGCCTCCATCGTAGTGAGGAAGGCCTCGTGTTCCTTGATAATATTTTCGGCCTGTTCCAAGTTTGTCGGAGGCTCGGTTTTGGCGAGCCTGAAAAAGACGATTAATGGCGATTAAAGGTTTTAGATGAGTTTCACGTACAATATGAGTGGTTCATGAGACAATAGTCACCTGTGTTCTTGGTGTGCAAGTAAAACTTCAGCCTGTCTGGCATCGCGCTGCAACAGCTGCAGCTCGAGGCTCTGCGCCAGGAGCTGCTGTCGGTTCTCCCACATCTGCTGCAGCTCGGCCCATCCCTCGCGCAGTGCCTTCAAACGTTCGCGAAGGAACATATACTGTGGATCATCTTGCGTGGACGGTTCCTGGAATACAAACATCAAGACATCAGGAAAATTGTACATATTTCAATCCTTTACTTCTTATATAAACATTAATTTTACTTACGGCAGTAATCTTCTCTCCATATTCCATCATCTTAGCATATTCATCCTTATAGTTATCAATCTCCTCTTTGATGGTTTGGTGCTGAGAAAGGAGTTTCTCAGCCTCAGGCAGACTTGATGGGATATCTAAATGAATTGTGAACGTTATAAGTTTTTTTGTTTCAAATCTAATAATTATTTCTTTTCATTGTCAGGTTATTTCTTGTTTTAGCCACAGTTAACTGTGAGTGTTTATTTCGCATTAAAACAACAATTGCAAACGAAAATACGTGTTAAAATGTAATATATATAGCACTTAACAAATATTTATGTGGATTATCAATGAAAATACTTTCGTATATTTTCAATACCGATTTGACATACCTTCGGAAGCAACATCGGTCTGCGTCTTTGTGAGCCACGCCTGGAAATGATCGACGGAGCGCAGGAAACGATGTAAGTCTCCGGCCTCTTCCAATTTCGAGTCGCGTTCTTTCAGCTATTTTGAACAAAAAAAACATATATTCAGTAATGCCTTTATAATTACTCCTTAAAATTATATATTGTTTGTTAAACTTGATTAACATAATCGCAAAATTAGCTTTTCAATTAATATAGAGAATGTATATGTAGATATGAGGTTATAGATCAATCTTTTGAGGAGGGAAATGTAGATCAACTGCTAGGAATATTAAGTTCATCAGTCACTGGAACCCATGTCATATCCCTCTGCTACTCAACATGAGAGTCAGGAATCCAATGATAATTACTTTAAGCACAACATTTGTATTGTCTTGCGACCTTTTCTATCTTGTGCATGATCATTCACATGACGTATCCACGTAAAGTCTTTGTCAAACCAAAATCTGCCTTGTGCAAAAACTCTATTTTGAATTAACGAGTAAAAACATTTTCGTATAAAATTTTATATGAATGTGAATTTTTAAGAACTATATCAAATGAAAGCTATAGATAAATATTAAGGCTATAGACACATAACAGTTTCAGATAGGGTTGTGAACTATACGAAAAGGTCAAAAGTAAAAATCTCAAAAAGTGCACATAGCAGATTTTGGTTTGACAATGATGATATGTCAGTAACATCTGTGGTGATTTCTACCAAACTACACAAAACCATTTTGTGTGTATAACTACTGACCATGTGAGTGAGTTGCTCCCAGTTCTGAGTGATCTGTTCGACGCGTTCCCGAATGAGTTGTGCCTCCTCGGGATGTTCGTTCTCGATGGCGCTGGCCTCGCTCTCCAGGGACGAGATGCGAGCCTGTATGGCGGCCAAGTCGCGCTCCATTCCGGACAAACGACGTTGGAGAGTCATCACGCCTAGAAACATATGGTACATTTTACAATGGTAATATGAAATCAGCTAAGCTTAGTGTAATTGTTTACGGTCATTTACATGAAATTAATAAGCAACTAAATTACGATATGTGGGCGGTTAACATACTAATCAAATGTTATTGGTAGATAAAGTTTTCAGAAATACTCCATAATAGAATGGACACTAGTTTGGATGGTCAATTTATTAACAGTGGGTACGTACTGCCCTGCAGTGGGAGTTTAATCATTAACATTGATTTTGGTGACGGCATCTGGCGCAAATACCTAGCTGGTTTACTACTAATTGAAGTCAATAGCCTTAGTGAGTAATGTATTTAAATAGAAAACGTTTTATAAGAAATTACTGAAAAGGTCCTAATTTCTAATAAGTATTTTAACTATTCAATGGGAATTGAGTATGAGTATGTTTTAATGTTCTCCTGCAATTTTAGGTATTGATTTTCTATAAAAACCTTGCACTAACGCAAGTTAAAAAAGCGAGCACAAGTAAGATTCAATTTGTATTTTTTAGTTTTTCAATAAAGAAACAGGGACAGCACACAAACCTCCTCGAGATATCATTACTATAGCATCATTTTCAATCGTAGTTCACTTAACTTATCTTAATTTAACTATCTAAGACTAAAAAAATATAAAACAGTCTTGATGACAATCAAATTACCGGTTTGAAAACTAAGCGAAATCTTTTTGAAATTTCTAAAAGCATCTGATATGATTGTACTCACCGTTAAGATCCATCTCGAGGTCGTCGGTTTGCTGCAGGATGCGTTTCTTGTCCTCGATCCACGAGACGGTCTCGCGACATTCGATGTGGAATGTCTGGACACCTTGAGCGGACTTAAGCTCATCCTTCTTCGCTTCAGCCTAAGGATTGGAATAAATATAAATTTAATTTTTTTGGAACGAAGTTCCTTATGGGACGATGCGGAGGGGTACCCTAACCGGTAAAAAACGTCCGTAACGTAAGATTTTTATTAGTAATGCACACAGTATACGACTTAACTTTGTAATAACGTAAAAAAAATAACATATTTTTTTTATCATTCATTGACCACAATCTCAGAGCGTTCGTTTGCGCAATACACTAACTCTTATGCATTAAACCGTGAATGAAGTGTACCACAATAAGTTCGCACGTTACCGAATGACTGTGGGTTGTTGCGAGACCTCCAGTTTTATTTTCTTTATACCTCGAATAGAACTTAAAATTAATATTTTTATAATAAGGAACTTCGTTCCTATCCGGTGTCCCACAACACCACACATCTTTTTTTTTGTTTTTAGTTAATTCGAAACTACTTTGTTGAGCTGTCTGAAAATCTATACTAATATTATAAAGAGGAAAGATTTGTTCGTTTGTTTATATTGAATAGGCTCCGAAACTACTGAACCGATTTGAAAAGTTTTTCACTGTTTTGAAGCTACACTATTCCCGAGCGACATAGGCATCATAGGCTAAGATATTTTTTGAAAAAAAGTAGGGATCCTTACTAAAACTCCAATAGTGTAACCCAAGGTGTAAAAAAATTATCTAAAATATTCTTTACATCGTGTGCCCTGCGAAAACTATTCATGATAGAATAAAATAATATACTACGACTTTGTAGAACATATTATTATTTACAAAGTGTCGCGATAGCATATGTCTAACTATTATAGTTATGCCGCAATAAGTGTACTTTTATTTAAAAACAGCAATTCTCGCAGAACCCTGTAGATGGCAGCCCTAGTGCGTGCGTACCTTCTCCCGGAGCGCGCTCCAGGCGTGGTTGAGCTGGTGCTGGCGGTCCTGGATGCGCGGCGCCTGCGGGTGCTCCACGTGCACGAGCTGCCGCGCCAGCTGGTTCACGACGGCCACGCGGGACGCGTTCGCGTTCATCTCCTTGTCGAAGCCGTCGTATCTACAAACAGACCGCCCTTAGCGACACAATACTGTCTACTGCTATAATATATCTTGATTTTAAAGAATGAGATCGGTAGACATTTGGTGTTTACGTTCGATCTGCTGGTATATATTATCTACTGGTATATAAATGTAAATATTAATACGCTTTTATTAGCTTCAGACGTATGTTAGTATGTAACGGAATTTGTGAACATGATTTTGACCCCCTTCAAAACGTCGGATTAACTCGAAATTTGGTATACTTATTAAGGACCGATGACAATTCAATATTAAAAAAATATATTGAAAAAATTGAAATTCAACTAAAAAATGATTTTATTGCATGGTATCAGTAGTTATAAATATTTTATGAACAGATATGAGTAGAGGGGTTATTTTGATATTATCCTGAAAAGCACCCGACGCTTTTTTACAATAAAATAATTTTTTTTACACTATTTTTAATTCAAATTTATTAAAATTTATTTTCTATTTTTTAGTTAGATTTTCTATAAAAGCATATTTTGTTAGTTTTTTTAAACATTTTTTTTTTTAATAATTTATTTTGCTACAGATTCCGATATACTCAAAACTGTCGGTCAATATTTATGATAATTAAGTTATAGTGATATATGAGAGTGTACCTGTGCTTCATGATCTCGACGTCGTCGATGTCGCTGGGCGGCAGCATGGTGTCGAGCATGCGGTGCTTCTCCGCGATCCACTGGTCGGCGGCGTCGGCCTCGGCGAGCAGCTTGAACAGCGACAGCGCGTCCAGCAGGCGCTGCTTGCGGAGGCGCGCCAGCTCGGCCAGCTCGCCGTGCCGCGCGTCGATGGCCGCCAGCCGCTCGCGCACCTCGCCGCTGTTGGCGTCCTCCGGGCTCAGCTCCTGCGCCTGGGGACCGTGGCCGACACGACTATGCTTTATAATTATTGTATTACGAATTTATAATTTATAACATTATGATATTAATTTTCATAATATTATTTACCTACATTTTCTTTATGATATGCATAGTTAAGTATACAGCGGGTGCATGTTATTGTATATATTTTGATTTATCAATTTCATTAATTTCACCTGTTGCTTCAGTTGCTGAATGACGTTGGCGTAGTTCTTGAGTTCGTCGGTGACGTCCTTGTGTTTCTTCAGGAGGCTCTGCACCTGAGCTTCGTCAACGCCGGTGTCTTCGGACGAAACCAATCTGTACAAAAATATGTTTTATTTTTATGTCACACTAGCTGACCCAGCAGACTTCGTAGTGCCTCAATCGATATATAAAAGACAAACTTTTGTATAAAATAAACTTAAAACAAACAAAAGGAATCCCTCCGACGGGGGACACAACAAAGAGAAAACAAAATTGTTATTTTTATTTAATTCCGAGCATTTTCATATTTATTTGCCTTTTAAACCTTCTCTGGACTTCCACAAATAATTCAAGACCAAAATTAGCCAAATCGGTCCAGCATTTCTCGAATTTTAGCGAGACTAACGAACAGCAATTCATTTTTTTATATATATAGATTTATATATGTATTTAAAAGAGTGTGAATGAATGAAGGTGCCGCTCACCTGAGGGTGTCGAGCATCCAGTTGTCGATGTCGTCGGCATCAGCGAACAGTTGGTGGTAGCGCACGGCGGCGTCCAGCCGACTCTTGCGGAGCGACACCAAGTCGAGGAGGTGGTTCCATTGCGACAGGATGTCACGGAGGCGTTCCTACAAGAAACATATTTACCATATAAATCTATATTGATATTATAAGTAGCATTCAGTCTATATGTTGGGTACTCAATCACGCGCAAATGGCTGAAAGTATTTCACCTGAAATGTGGCACAAAGATAAGCTATACCTTTTTATCATAATAAATTACCAGAAAAGTATACGTGCTGTAGTATAAACAACAGTGTTCACTGGATCGTGGTTTAAAGCACAAACGGACCTACAAAACTGGTACTGGTACTTTAGGAAACAGAGTGACACAAACAACTCGTTCTCGTTCGAAAGTACTATGCGTTTGATTCGATAGGAAAAAAGAAGAAAAGACTATCCAAATATTCATCAAATTGTTTGTTTTATAATATTCAATATATCAAATATGTTTTATTTTTATATCACACTAGCTGACCCGGCAGACTTCGTTGTACCTCAAACGAAAAATAAAAGAACTAAACTTTTGTATAAAATAAATTTAAAACAAACAAAATTAATCAGTCCGACGGGGGACACATCAAAGGAAAAACAAAATTGTTATTTTTATTTAATTTCGAAGCATTTTCATATTTATCTACCTTTTAAACTTTCTCTAAACTTCCACAAAAAATTCAAGACCAGAATAAGCCAAATCGGTCCAGCCGTTCTCGAGTTTTAGCGAGATTAAGGAAGAGATGTACTTATGCGACCTAGCCTCCAGCTGTTGCTACAATTAAAACTTTATGATCGCACTAGATGGATGTACGAGCTCACAGCCCACTAGAGCTTAGTCAATGACATGGCAACGTGAATACCGTCACCCGCCTTGAAAGCCGAGCTCGAAGTCTCAGTTGCACTATATAACGACCGTCCAACAGTTCAGATCGAAACATAAGCTTTGCGAGAGTAATGAGCAGGTTGGTGTTACCTGCCGGTGCGGGCTAATAATACGTACTACAATATGAGCGTCGGTATATAGTAATAGTAGAGGGGTGGTATTTCTATGGATTTCTATCACAACATTATAAGAATCTATTTTTAAAAAAAGTACCTAAGTTTGTTTAAAAAGTTTACATTTCTAAGGGCCTTACTTGGATCCTGTCTGCGCCGAAGTGTCCCTGGGAGATGAGCTCGTCGCCGACCGCCGCCACGCTCATCAGCTGCGGCTCGTGGGCCAGCACGTCAGCTTCCAGCGCCTTGTGCTTCGATATCAGCAAGTACACTGACGACAAATACAAACTAATGTATATTCAAAATTGAAAAAAAAAGATACTCTAAACAGTTGATGATAACCTTTTATTTCATGAACTCTTGATTTTTTTAATAACATAATCTAGACTAGTGATTATATGCACATTAACTTTCAGATAGACTGATCAAATTCAGATAAATCCACAGACAGTGAAGGAAAATACAAAATACAAATTCGAATGTTATGTACATTAGTAGACCTTTGTGTACATTAGTAGTCACCTTCGAGCGCACGAGCGCCAAATCGCCGGATAGGAGTCGAAGTGGCCGCCATGACCGAAATCGGTCGGATGGATCATCATCATCATCACATTAGCAGAAATATGCAGCATGGCTGTTTTACTATCAACCCTGACACAATCAAACGGAAGCTTACCAGTAGTAAGGTCGTGTCCGATGTCATCAACGGAGACAATCTGTTCCTTCTCCTTGATCCAGTTCTCTTCATCGGCCATGTCCCAGTAGAACTGCCACAGTTTGCGGCTGTCCTCCAAACGCTTTCTACAAGACCAAATAAATAAAAATGTTTTTTTTATTGCTAACATGGATGGACGAGGCCATGGCCTACTTGATATTAAGTGATTAGCTGTATCCATGGACATCATAACGTAAATGCCGCCACCCACCTTGAGACATGAGTTCTAAGTCTCAGTTTTACAGTACAACAGCCGCCACCCTTCAGACCGAAACGCATTACATAAGTAAAGCTGCTTTAAACTACGCTATACTATAGTGTCATATAGTATAGCAGTCTATAGTTAGCCAATAATATATAGTAAAGTACAATGTGAACGTGTGTATCTGTAACAATGTATGGTGCGCGATATTGTAGTGCTATGAGCTCCTCCTCCTTGCGTCGATAATCCTCAGTGCTGAGGGTCGTGGCCTCCTCTAACAACTTTCTCCTGTATTATCCTGCGCTATTCCTGCCTATCCTCGGCTGTGTGGATAGCAACGTGGACTGAAGTGTTGAGAGTGGAGCGTATCTGGTCCGACCAGCGCATTGGACTTTTTTTTATTGCTTAGATGGGTGGACAAGCTCACAGCCCACCTGGTGCTAAGTGGTTACTGGAGCCCATGGACATTACAACGTAAATGCGCCACCCACCTTGAGATATAAGTTCTAAGATCTCAGTATAGTTACAACGGCTGCCCCACCCTTCAAACCGAAACGCATTACTGCTTTCACGGCAGAAATAGGCTATAATAGGCACTTCTGCCTCTGGGCCTTCTTCCGCATACCTTGCCTGTTATCAGCAGCTTTTCCAGATTGTCACTATGCTATGAGCTATACACTATTATATTATAGCGTAGTCAGAGTGGACTCTTTCGCGGGAACACGAGGAGTGAAGATGTGTGATTTGTTTTATTTTGTCTATTTAGTGTTTCTTCAGGTTTAAATGTGTAATAACGGTGGTTTATTAGCTGTCTAATATCTGTGAAAGTGCACAAATATGGGAAAATGAAACAGAGCCGCTGAACGTAGCTTCTCGGGATCCTCCAAAAAGTCCACTGAAAAAGTCTCAGCAAATGACCACCATTTTACTGAGATTATATTTCATCCTATATCATCTCATCTTATTTAATTTAATTTCATCCCAGTTGATTAATGTCTTCATTTAATCATCTTCATTTCACTTCATATTATCATTTTTCATGAAAATAAGAACTAGAATTTAAAATAAAACATGACTTAAAGGTCTTAGTTACCAGGTCCCAAAAAAATCCCAAAAAAACTAATAGTTAGAATGGGTAGTGAGGGACGGACCTGCGCTCCACGGCGAGGTGCACGAGCTCTGCGTACGCGTTCTCAAGCTGCTGTATGCGGTCCACGGTGACGGCGGGGTCGCACGGCCGGTACGCGCCGCCCTCGCCCTCCAGGAAGCGCTGCGACTGTCCGACCACCACCTGCACCCACCCATACGCGTTACTGAAGACCTCTTAACGACAGTGAGCTCACCTACTAGTTAAGGTTACGCTGAAGTGGTCTCTCAAGACCATCTGTGTGCTTAGTGCGAGTTTTTTAACGTACTCGACAGCGTAAAAATTAGTTCATATTTGTATGGAATGGGATCGTTTGCGTACGTTTGCCGTTAGGGGCGCGCTGTTCCAACTGCATACAAAATTGGACTAACTTTTACGGTAACGAGAACGTTAAGAAACTCGCACTAAGCACACGGATTAGGTAAAAAAAAAACTAAATATTGAAGACATGTGATATCAAATTTAAAAAATTATGTCTTGTGATTTCCTTTACCTTTATATTTTAGTGTTTCACTTTAATTTGATGAACGATATAATGTTTATTTATTGTATGTTCTAGTAATTTTATGATGATGATGTTAAAATATCAGCATTTGTAATACTTTTTTTAATTACACAAATTTCAACATTATCTCTTCGTGATTGAAATACAAACTTCAATTACTTGAATCAATTTCCATAAAAATGAAATTCGATAAATATTTTAATATCTAATACCCATCGCTACAATGCAATGGTTAAGTTACCAAAATGTCCTTTACCTTGACTCGTTCTCCGAGCACATTGATGTCGGCTTCGACCAGCGCATGCTTTTGTAATAAATCTTCGACTCCCATCAGATGTTTGCCGTAGTCGTCTGTCAAGAGACGCATCTTGATCTCTTCCATAGAGTCGAGGATGTACAGCATTTCCTGTTCAACAAAAAAATATCGTTACAAATATTAGCGACACTATAGTAGTACTATATATAGTATAGTACTATATATACTATAGTATAGTCTTCTTCTTTTTCTCCACCTTATCCCACTAGGTGGGTTCGGCACAGCTAATTTTTCCCTTCCATTCTCTTCTATCAGTCGTCATTTCAACACTCACTCCCTCTCTCTCTCATATCGTCATTCACACACTCTATTCATGTCTTCTTCGGTCGACCTCTTCCCCCTCTACCTTGCACTACCATTTCCATACATCTCCTAGTCACATGCATATTCTCTCTACGCATCACATGTCCAAACCACGCTAACCGTCCGTTCCTTAATTTGTTGCTTACCGGGGCCACTTTCACACTTCCTCTGATATACTCATATACTATAGTACAGTAGAATCTTTAAAACTAAATTGTGCTAGATGGGCAGATAAATCCGTATGGGATCCGTACGGGTCGTATAAATCACACCATTCCATTAGCTCTCTCTGTAGTAAGGGACTCACAGCCTTTATATAACAATACTTAAGAATACTAATGGACAACCTCAGATGTAAAGTTAACATTCCAATAATTTATTGCTGAAAACAACCCAAGATGGGTTGACCTCAGGCAGGCGGTTGGTCGGTCGTAAACTCATGCCAAATTACTATGCAGCATATTAAGAGGATATTCCACATAGTGTGGGATAAAGGCAAGAAGAAGATCTTCAGGTGTGAAGTTTCAAAAGAATGTCGATTACCTCGTTACATTTCAAACTGAGACCCATCATTATTTTAAGAATCATTAGGCTCACAGCATGCCTGTTCACCAATTGCATCCCTATAAAATAGGTATATGTCCTTCTTTAAAAGAGGCTTGAGAGAGTATTAAGCGGTAGGCAGGGCCTTGGCTCTGCCCCTGGCATTGCTGAAATCCATGGGCGACGGTAACCACTCACCATCAGGTGGGCCGTATGCTCGTCTGCCTACAAGGGCAATAAAAAAAAAAGTAGTTTAATACTTCTATAGCGGACTTATGGAAGAGCTATTCACCTGGAAGTTCTGTTGCAGCTGCAGGGACAGTTCGAGACGAGCCCGCCGCGCCCGCAGCAGCTCCAGCAGGTAGGCCCACAGGCGCAGCACGTTGTCGCGCCGCGCGCACACACGCTCGATGTCGTGGTACCTGCATTCATAACGTTTCATAATTTTTAGTTATTTATTTTGCGTTAATATGTTTTTCAAATTAATTGATAAGCTAATAACGATATGGTAATAATAAAAGATTGGCCTCCATTAATGAGCTTTGTTTTATTCATTATGTTTTTAAAAATGCATTTTTTTGAATAGCATAGCACGATAACTCAGACTCGGAATTTTTTTTTATTGCACAGATGGCTGGTCTAGCTCACAGCCCACCTAATGTTAAGTGGTTACCGGAGCCCATAGACATCTACATATGAGTTCTAAGGTCTCAGTATAGTTACAATATCTGCCGACAAACCGAGACGCATTATTGCTTCACGGCAGAAATGGGCGGGGTGGTGGTACCTACCCGTGCGGACTCACAAGACGTTCTACCACCAGTAATTAAGCATTAAAATTTTGCAGGTTTGATTTTTATTACATGAAGTTATTTATTACGTTTATAGGGTATATATTTCTGATTATATCAGCAACTAACTGTCCGCTTCCGCTTCGCTGGGCATTTAAAATTAACATTTTTATTTCTCACCCCCATAAAGATTCTCATTATTAACGCCCCCAACTGGTGTAGGGAGTCCAACACTCATATAAATATTAGCCTATCCATTAAGTACATGTATTTTCTACACGGATACCAAGTTTCAAGTCAATCGGATGCATGGTTCAGTAGTTATAACGGAACATCCGTAAAAACCACTGTATATTTGAATATGCAATTTCGAAAAGGGCACATCTCTGAAAATGTAAAATGTTCAGGAAATGAAAAAAAAATTGTTATTTTCTAAAGCAATGTAAAATTTAAAATATTAACTTTTGAGATATATTTTAGTGATAATTAGCAATTGAAAATTAACGGAATTATTATAAAATGAGTGTAGGTGAGTTTCAAAACTACATGTATATGAAAAAACGTATTTGACAAAATATTCGACATGTGCCCTTTTCGAAATTGCATATCCATTTATATATTAAGTATAGATGAGATAAGTAGAAATTAAAGTTGTTTTGTAGAAGCTTATTGTACTATGATCACGGCCAAGTTTAGAGTGAGACAAAGAGTGACCTCTCGGCCTGCAGCTCCGAGCAGACGGCGACGACGGCCTGCACGCGCTCCTCGTACGCGAAGATGTCGGTCTCGATGGCCTCGTGCTTCTTGGCGGCGGCTTCCACGGCCGCCAGGTCGAACCCGAAGTTGTCCTGGCTCACCAGGCGCTGGTTCTCCGACAGCCAGGTCTCGCGCATCTGAGCTTTACGGTTGAATCTGTGTAATAATCAATCTAGTAAGTAACGCTTTTGTAGTAGCATTTGAACTGGACACACATTCCGTTTAGAGAGAGAGATAAATACACTTTATTGCACATCAAAAAACAATTTACATTCAAAAACAGTGAAAAAGCAGATAGATTTGTACAATAGGCAGTCTTATCGCTAAAAGCGATCTCTTCCAGACAACCGTTTAATTTAGAAAAATTCTGGAAAATATAAAAATATAGCAGTAATACTATTGACAATACATTAATATAGAAAATATATACATACAATAAATAGATATGTACCGTTCAGATATAATATGAAATTCTGTTTACAATAGTCCTTTTATTTTTCAAGCTAATAGACAAAACGTGTCGTATTTAACCACGTTAAGTAGTCAAGTATCAATGTGTGACTCATAATTTTTCTAACTATCAACTTTCTAGCACGCACTTAAAATTATCTGCACTGACCAGCAGGGGAGACGACATGATGTCAAAGTAAAGCGCCCGAGTTCAATGTCGGGCGTGAAGGAGGGAGCACCTCACCATCCGCCTCGAATTATAGTTTACGTTGCAAGCGTGGACTGCTCATGCCGCTTGATCTGATGACGTCATATCTATCCAGAAGCCCCGGCTACCATTTAACACTTATACACACACTGTGAGCTATTGATCTAATGTATATGTGATTGTGTATATACTTTTTTGTGTATGTATTTGTAACTTAATATAAATTTCATTGCACCTACCATTATTTACTCTGCACTACCTTTGATTGACTGGTATAGAATGCCTTAGGCATTAAGTCCGACATTGTAAATTTTACATGAAGTGTAATAAATAAATAAATAAATAAAGCGAAGTAGGGGAGACCTGGCGGCGAGCTGCTCTAGCTTCTCCTGGCGGATGAGCTCCTCCCGCAGCGCCAGCTCCCGCTCGTGCTCGGCCTTCTCCAGCGTCTCCCAGGCGCGGTTGATGTCGTGGATCATGCGGCCCTCGCGCGGCGTGTACGGGCGCTGGTTGGCGGCGCGCATGCGCGACTGCAGCGTGAACAGCAGCACCTCCAGGTTGCCCTTCTCCACGAACCTGGACACATAACATAACAATAAGATAAAATATAGGAATTTCGTTTACTCAACATTTACTTCTTTTTCTCCACCTTATCCGATTAGATATTTTTTTTGCTTATATGGGCGGACGAGCTCACAGCCCACCTGGTGTTAAGTGGTTACTGGAGCCCATAGACATCTACGACACCCACCTTGAGATATAAGTTCTAAAGTCTCAAGTATAGTTACAACAGCTGTCCCACCCTTCAAACCGAAACGCATTACTGCTTCACGGCAGAAATAGGCATATAGGTGGGGCCGGTACAGCAAATTATTCTATTCCATTATCTTCTATCAGTCGCCATCTCAACACTCATTCCTCTCTCTCATATCGTCATTCACACACTCCATTCATGTCTTCTTCGGCCGACCTCTTCCTGCACTACCATTGCCATACATCTCCTAGTCACATGCATCTTCTCTCTACGCTTCCACACCACACTTAGCGTGCTATGGACATGTAACATGCTTTTTCAACATTCACTATTTGAAATTTTTTATATATTTTAAATGTCAATAAGAAGTGTGCCAAGCTTTAGGTTGAACCATGTTAAGCTTTGTACAACACAGCGTACTTATAATTCAGCCTGTATTTTTCGCGTGGAACCCGAACGAAAACAGACAAAAAAAAGGTTAAAATCAGATAATGAATACTTTGAACTTGCAAATATATTCATTCAATCACACATCTGGACCAGTTTCCACGCTCTCATGTCCCACATAGCTCGACAACACATACTTAGGCGGTTTCTCAACGGTGCGATAGTTCGCGAATTGAATCAGTTGTTGGCGCACTCCCTCCAGAGAGTTCGCGAATGTTCTGTCGCCGAGCGCCTCGATTGTTCGCTCGATCCACTGCAGGAGATCGCTGTGAATAACATTTGGTTTTTATAATATTTATCTATTTATTTAAATTGTATGTTAAAATTAACTTATTGAATTATTAAAAGTTGTCTTGTGGGATATAACAAACAAAACGCATTAAAAGTTACGATAGCCATTTTACAATGTAATGGAAACATCGGCTTCATGTCGGTGGAAGGTATCCTCCATGTTACTATCTATGATCATCGCCTTATCCACTGGATCACTGATGCTACCTTAATAACGTTTATCGCGATAACTGGCACACGAAATCAAATCAAGTCAAATCAAATCAAAAAAAAATTATTCAACATAAATGAAAGTACATGCATACTTGTTGAACGTCAAAAGAACTAAAATTCACAAAAACTAGCCTCCGTTCTGAGAAGAACTGGCAAGAAACTCAGAATGTCTTTTTTTTTATTTTTTTTTACAATGAGTATTATAATTATTACAATTATTGCAATATTGAAATGCCCGGAGCGAGCAACTCATTCCCACTTTGTGCAATCTTCTAGATAATCATTGACTTTAGGTAAGCTTTATTGCACAGATGTTCTTTAATAGTTTTCTTAAACCTATGCATATGTAGGTTCTGAACATCTTGTGGGATTTTGTTGTACAGGCGCACAGACAAACACCCGAATGAATTTCGTATCTTATGTAACCTACTCATCGGCACAACAAGTTTGTGTTTGTTCACTTCACAACTTTCAACGGTCACCGTGACTGACCTGGTGAGCGACTCGTATTCCTGCATCATCTTGTCGTTTTCCATCGCGATACCGACGACCTTCCCGATCCTCTTGCCTTGGACTGTCTCCTGCTTCATCTTGCTGAAGTAGTGATAGTACGTCACCACGTACGTGATGATGGACTTCTCGTCGGGATGGTCGACAGCGATGTCTGTTGGCGAACATCATTTTAGTCATTCAATATAAGTCACGTGAATAGTATATCTCAAGGTGGGTGGCGCATTTACGTCGTAAATGTCTATGGGCTCCAGTAACCACTTAACACCAAGTGGACTGTGAGCTAGTCCACTCATCGAAGCAAAAAAAAAAGAAGAGAACTCGTAACTGACCTTCCGCGTCAAGCAACTTGGTGAGTCCAAGCTTTTCCTCGGCAACGTTGAAGGCGTTGTTAAGGTTGTGGATAGGGTTGCTCCTGTGCAGTTTCTCGAACTGAACGAGGTCCGGTCTGTGCTTGTGTATGATCGCGTTGAACGCCAACCCGTCCCGCCAGGACGTCGTGAAGTTGCGGACGTTCACGTTATTATAGCCCGCGGTCTTCATTTGACACCAAAGAAGGAGAGCGTCCTTCGCCGATTTCGTTTCCTTGTTGTCGGTTTCTTCGATTGTAATGTCTTGGATCTTGAAAAATAAAACATTTACAGATCAAATTACGGAATAATCTAATCGATGCATTGTGAATGTATTATATGCATTATATGAATCAAAAATATGGTCCGAAATTCTGTTCTAGGAATTTGGTCCAAACAAGGTCCAAATTTAGCCACTGATACTATACAACCTCCTAATTAATTCATTATTCTCTCCTCAATGAGCTTCTTTGACTCAAAGCTTTTTTTATTGCTTAGGTGTGTCATAGCCCACCTGGTGTTAAGTGGTTACTGGAGCACATAGACATTTACAACGTAAATGCGCCACCCACCTTGAGATATAAGTTACAACTCATACAGTCAGTCCGTATAGTTACAGTATAGTTAACGTCTCAGTATAGTTACAACGGCTGCACCCTTCAAGCCGAAAGGCATTACTGCTTCACGGCAGAAATAGGACGGGTGGTGGTACCTACCCGTGCGGACTCACATGAGGTCCTACTACCACTAATAATATAAGATTCGGTATTTTGTTTTCTTACCTGGAAGCGCAGAATGATAGTCCAGATGAGACCAAGACTGAGCCTAGGGTTGCCGTCGACGATGTCATGGGACCCCATGTTCTCCAGGTGAACTCGTTGTTCGCGCAGAAACTGAAGCGCCTTGTCCACGTTCTCCAAGCAGTGGATACGCATTTTACCTTTCGTTGGACGAGGCTGCGGGAAGACGATCATTGAAATATGAAACTACCGTCATTAGTGGCGTTCGTTTTATTTAGACTACTTCTAACTAATTATTGAAGGATTACTGGTGGCCCGGAGGCCTTTCCAGTTCCAACAGGATAGATGGGCGAGCAAAGGCTCAGCCAGGAGGGCGACTCTGATGCTGTATTGATTCATTGTACTAGTTACTAGGCTGCTCAGATTCTCAAGAAGGATATAATAAATATTTCGTAGGGACGCACACCGAAACACAGCCAATGAATATTTTTAAGTTTAATTCAATTAATTAACTAATTAATGTTAATTAATTATTATTAATTAAATAATTTAAATAATTATTTTATTTATTTATTTAAAATTAATTTATAAGAATAGTTACTTGTCAATGGCATGACAACTAAAAAGTGAGGTTATTTATGCCTAGTGCTATTTCTTCTGTCTTAATTATTTTTAATTTAGATTAATATTAATAAATATATCAATTTATTTAATAGCGAACACTCTTTCTTTAAATCGTTCGATGAAAGTCTTGCATTTATTTATTTCGATGAGTCACAACGGTAACAGAATATCTAAATATTGAAGTTACTAGAATATAATCATAGTCAGTGAATATGAAACAATGGGAGTTTCCCACTGAGTGAAAATATAAAAATAATTACAGAGAATAATATTGATAGACATTTTTTCATATACTACATTATATACTTATGTTATTTGCACGTTATCAAAATCGTTTATTAATGTTGTCCAAAATAATAAGATTCTAATTAAATTTTAGTTTAGAAAATTCATATAATATTTTCATAACGCAAAACTATAACCATCCGTGACCGATATATATACAAGCGTTTATGTTTATTTTAGCAACCGCCATCCACCATGTAACCGACGGTTTCAAACTAAACTCCAAAATAATATCTTACAAATAAATTCCTCTTGTGATGCTATAAATAACACCGGAAAACTTGTGATAGACGGGAATAAGGTAAATTATCGCTGTGGATATTATTTCTACATGTTATATTTATTATGTACCGCTCTTTATTTTATATTATTTCCGTATTTCAATTATTATTATTTTTATTTAATAAAAATGACTAAGGCTTGTGACATGTGATGAATAGCGGTTACACAAAAACAACTGATCTTGTAAGTTCATATTGCTAATGTTGAAAACCTAGCAAACGTAAACAACTGTCACCCATACGTTTCACAATATTGACTGAATTAATAACAGTATGCCCAACGCACACACATATAAGGACGTATTTGAGCAATAACTGAGTATTGGTCTCTCGCTGCAAATATAGCCTACGTGCGTAATTTTATGAATTTTTATTAAGACTAGTGGTCCCGCATTAGTCGAAATTCGACTATAATTCTTCGACTATATTTCTTTATTATAATTTAATATATTCTCAATTTGACCACAGACGTCAAGAACAAAAGTTTGACAATAAATAAATAGTATGCATGCGTGTGTGTGTCAAATACATGTAGTGTGTGTAATGTTTTCTTTATTGATTAAATGTATCTTGTATGCATTATTTTAAAAAAATATTATCATTGTGCACTTCTTCTCTATATTCTCTATAAGTGTGGAGAATTTCATACTCCTCCGTCGGCGCAATTCTCGTAAAAAGATATACAAAGTTTTTGCTTCACGTATTAATATATAGATTCTAACTTAAACATACCAGTCTCTCTCCAGACAGCACCTCGAGTAGTCTGATAAGCATCTTTCCATCTCTCATATCGACGTACAGATCCCCAATTCGGAACCCGACGCGAACTAAATGTGAGTTCACCCATTTTTGAAATGTCTTCTTTTGCACGCTCTCTCGTTCGTCTGTAATAAAATTACGGGCATTATGCTACCAGGATATATACAGAATAAGTACGGCATATATTTAGAGAAACAATTATTAATGTGTTTCATGTTGATTTACGTTAAACAAACCTAAGGAAACATTAAAGTAATGAATGTAAAGTACACGCATAGCTATTAATAGAAGTATAAGTAAAATTCCAGCGAATGTTAACATAATAACCGCCAGTGGGGTCGTCCGCGGCGGGGAGACCAGATAGGCGGTCGTCCTGCCTTCTTCTCGGGCAGTGGAGGATGATGGTCGCGCCCGTTCATCGTCGACGACTCCATTGTAATAAATCAAACAAGACAATACGGCCCTAGGTGTTGAATTCCGAATATAATACTGGTAATACGAGATGGGGATCAGGTGGCTGGTCGCACGCTTCAGAGCGTAAAGCTTAGGTCTTAACTGAACTACCTCATTATCTTTCTAAACATAAAAAAAAACACAGTACCAACTCATTTGTCACTTGAATCAACCAATAACTTACCCCATCCCTATTGAAATGTGTTAGAAAAAAAACACAATAACGAAAACAATAAAAAAAAATTGTTGTAACCATCGATTAAAATAAAACTGACTCACTTTACGCTACATTTACAATTATAGTATCAACAATAATTATTTGAACAACATAAAATCACAATATCGATAAGGCACATCACAAACTGACCTCTCAACTCTGACACCACTTTGTCATAATACACTTCTAATCCTGGCACCTCTACATCTACTCCCTTTTTTATGAGATCGTAACACTCGGTGGATGTCATGTCGCCAGCACCACGAGGCGACTGAAGCATGGCAGCAAACGAAAGACGAGAGGAATTAGAGCGACAAAATCCAACTGCCCACTGGACAAGGATATTCGATACGAACAAGCCAGATGCTGACAACTAAGGGACCGGTTTATTTAATTAACTTTATTAACATTAGAACAGAATAATTTCGTGCATCAAAATCAATATTGTGAACAAAACTGTTCACGTACGTATCGAACAAATAACCAGTTAGTTACTATCTCGTTTCTATTAAATATAAAAACTACGCTGTTATTGGATAAACGAGAAAATTCATACGTTAAGATAACAGACACCTTGCTGATAAAGGTATCTACGTTAAATATAATAGTTCAAAATTCAAACGATTCGGTAACATAATATATTTTAATTTGCAACAATTGTTGTAAACTCCTGATTTTTTAACAAGGAAAAACGGAAGCTATTGCTAATGCAAATGATAAATTCATCGACGTTATAATGTGTGTATTGTGTAATGAATAATATAATACAATGAACAGTACACGTATGTACGTACAGGTAAGATTCTAACCAGATCTGTGTGTCCTCCTCTACTATGAGTTGCTCATTTATTAAAATAGTAAACTCTAAAAATTGTAGCAAATATATCTGGCACGCATGATAAGCGATAGAATACAATTGAAAAAGTTTATCTACTGTTAAGAACTAACTATATCTGCATCAGTTCAATGAACGACTCATCCAGCTAGTTTTCTTCATCCACCGATATTTTGTATCGGCAAACGTGTGTTTATTTGTTATGTTATATATATATATCAGTTAAGTGAAGTGTTCGGTTCAGTTACATCACATCAAAAATGATTTCTTATCAAATTAAATATACATATTAACGTTCTGTTGTAACGCGATGGGTTTTATGACATTATTAGTTGCAGCAAGTGGGTAACCTTCACTATTAAAATTACAGGTACTTAATGCATAAACCTTTTTTCTAAATGAATAAATAATGTGTTACCAGATAATAACTATTGCTTGGTAATGTTAGTGAACATTTCACCCTCAACGGGCTAGAACTTTCTTCTGTATTACGGATACAGGCGATACATATATGAGACAACAAGTACACTTAGGCACCAAATGATAAATATTTTTAACGACTGTACTGGACTCCGGACGAGAATCGAATCACTACACCAATTAGGCGATCAAATTCCATTGGGAAGCGTCATTTGTTTATCATTAAGAATATGCCAAGAAGAACTGCCATTGAGTAAGGTTTAGGTACCTCAAGCACCGATCACCGTCCTCGACGAGTAAATTAACCCATAAACACAGCCCACTGAGTTTTTCGCTGGATCGTCTCAGTGGGTCGCGTTTCCGATCCGGTGGTAGATTCTGCGAAGCACTGCTCTTACTAGGGGCAGTGTTAGCAACACTTCCGGTTTGAGCACCAAGAGCTCACCTATACGCTAGGTTAAAGCTGAAATAGGCTCTCAAGGCTACCTGCATAGGTAGGAAAAAAAAGTATATGTAAAAATTTGTTTACTGCTTCATCAAAAACGACTGGCTTCTGATTAAATTCGTATTCTGTACCTAGTCGCAAATTTATATAATTGAGTATATTTAGATAATAGAAATGTATTATTACCTGCAAGCGCTTTAATGCGCGATCGTTCGAATAGCCTCGACGATGAATTTCCGCCGTCGTACTCGATTTCATCAATGATCTCCTGCCCGTGGCCGACGGACGGGTCCCATCGGGACACCGAGATGTCGGTCGTCATCGCGACCAACTATAGCCTCACCACGCCACGCTCGGAACTCTGCAACAACAGAAGAATACGAGTCACGTGACTTGATATCATACTCGTATTAGCTATTCCGTCAACGTATTAAACGTATCTATTGATATTTGTCGTAACAACACTTTCGTACACTTTCCGTGTGTTGAATTTATTTTGCTAATAAATCATTTTAGATTAGTATCACTTTTTTAAATTTAGTTGACGTAAAACTGATAATACGATTAATGTTGCCTAAAACTAACAAATTTACATTTGTTACATACAATTTACTAACAATTTAGGGAATTGGCTAATCACAATTTTAAATAATCCATACAAAACCACATTGCTACGATTCATCACTGCACTGTATATTTTTGTTATTTATAAATGACATCATTCCGGTTGATAAGATTAGATATGTATTAACGTTCTGAAGAGACTCGCTGCCACACCTAAGCCACTTCGTTCGACTTGTATGTACTATGGAAATTGAAACACGCGGTTTTTTCTTTTACACTTTTTTTTATTTTATAAAACTACGAATTATGACCACTGCAACTGAACAGACTTCAATTTTTTTTAGAGAGAATTAAGAGATAGATTTGTTTGAGGTTAAAGTCAAATTCGTATTATTTGTAAAGACCGTTCTACTATTCAAATTCGCGGTGAAAATGGGGGAGTTTGTGACATTTTGGCAAGAATACTGGTGGTATGACCTCTTGTGAGTCCGCACGGGTAGGTACCACCACCCTGCCTATTTCTGCCGTGAAGCAGTAATGCGTTTCGGTTTTAAGGGTGGGGCAGCCGTCGTAACTATACTGAGACCTTGAGAACTTATATCTCAAGGTGGGTGGCGCATTTACGTCGTAGATGTCTATGGGCTCCAGTAACCACTTAACACCAGGTGGACTGTAAGCTCGTCCACCCATCTAAGCAATAAAAAAAAAAGAATAAGCAATATATAATCAGTCACTTGACTCAGAATATGTCAGAATAGGTCCGGCTAGGCCTTCATAAAATTCTTATTGCTAAATATTCCATAATAAGAATTCGCACTCAAATAAGTATATTATTATTATTTTCTTCGTTTTTCCCGAGTCGTAAACATTAATAAAGTACGCGGAAACGCGAAATACACTTATTATTACAATTCAAAATTACAATTCCTATGATGAAACAATTGTATCATCGAGATCTGCTCAATTCTGTCAACGGCATAACCTTCTGTATTCTTCCGGAGCGTTAAGGACTTTTGCACTCTCTGTCTTTTATCTAAGCACTTTGTCGAGGTTCTCGTGCTGCAAAACGCTCACGATAAATCTATTACACACTGACATTTTTCTTTTGGCATAAAAATTTGAGAACCATAATAATAGTAATCACATGCTTTACACACTTCTATAGTCCCTTCAAGATAATCGAGTAAAAAAAAACCTTATTTCGGGAACGTGTTGAATTATATTCGTTTAACAAGAACGTACCTAAACCTTAAATATACTTTCAGATATAACAAACTGGGCTACTAATAACAAACGGAGCGTTCGGTATGACTCACTACACGAATTTGGATTTCGAATCTCGTAACAATTAACGCATTTATGAATAGAATTCCGTCCATGGTTCGTACGTCCTGTTTCGGTAATTACAGATTCGTAAATCGTAATTATTTTAGTCCATTAATGAATGGGACTGAGATAGTAATTCCAATCCCAGTCAGGTACTAAATTATCTAAGTGCATACGTACTCAGCGCGTGCTCGCAATTGACTTTCACCATTAATGTAAATCTACAAAATTTGCATAATTACTGATTACAATTACAATGCGCTTTTATTGTAAGCCCACGCGGGTAGATGCCATTATTCTGCAAAACTTATTATCTGTTATTTATTTATTGGAACGAAGTTCCTTATCGCGCGTTGTGAAAGGGGGCTAGACGGAAAAAATTCTTACGAAAAGTTGTCACGACACTTTTTGCTATAGTAAGCTATTGTAAGCTGTGCGGCGTCGCATGATTACGAAAATTGAGCCTACTGATAAGGTTTATATAACATTATATTTGTTAATAATAAAAAAAATATTATTATAACTTAAAAAAAAAAAAAATATTACAATTCCTTCACTAATTAATCGAAAGGAACTTCGTTCCATCCGGGTGTCCCTTGACACCTCTCAAGTTTTATTTATTTATTTATGTGGCGCTTAAGAATTTACGGACACGACCACGAAACACACCCAACAATTCACAATGAATAAACATTTTAATACGAATATCTCGAATGAATGTTTCTAGATTTATTAATTAAAAAACTAAGCGTTATATTATTAAAGTCATCATATTAATATAAAATTAGTCCCAGTCGAAATACAAATTGTGTGCTGATGGAAAAAGCAACGCAAGCGGATGTAAATCTTCAGAGTATTATTATTAGACAGTCGCGATTTATAAACATTTGCGTAAGCGCGGTTATAAAAACCAAACGAAGATTTCTCACGTTTTTTCTTGCGAACGAAAACTTTTACGATAAAGACGAGTAAATTTGATTAACTAACAATTGTTTCTCCGTATAATTTTGCAATGTATATAACATTACTATTATTATAGGTAATATTTCCCCTTGATGCGTTTTGCTTTGTGACTTGTGGGATTAAATGAAAATATAGGTAGCGGTTTTGTTTTACAAAACGTAGTTTTGAGTAATTTTGTTATTTTATTATTATTTTATTTTATTTTAAATAATTTTGAGTAATTGTAAAAAAACGTAATTGAGAGAGTTCTATCATAGACCAGGAATCACTGACTTACATAGATTATATTATATTATAAACTAGAGGTATACTGATCGTCTAGTCTACATATTATTATAGTCTATGGGTTCAATTTTCTAATTTCAACATGACGTTGTAAAATGAAATGAGACGACCTAAACGTTTATTTTATACAATACCTTATATATGATACTAACAAAGTCAAACACATCTTTTAAATAACTGACTAAAGATCTCGCTTCTTAAAAGCCTAATCTAGAACAGCGTCCAGAAAAAGTCGCCACAAACCATCCATGAAACTCTTCCAAGATCAGATACAGTTTACTGGTGGCAGGACCTCTTGTGAGTCCGCGGGGTAGGTACCACCACCTTGCCTATTTCTGCCGTGAAGCAGTAATGCGTTTCGGTTTGAAGGACGGGGCAGCCGTTGTAACTATACGAGGCCTTAAAACTGATATCTCAAGGTGGGTGACGCATTTACATCTTAGATGTCTATAGGCTCCAGTAACCACTTCACACCAGGTGAGTTGTATGCTCGTCCACCCATCAAAGCAATGTCTCTGAAATTAATATGATTGACGTACGGAAAAGATCAAAATTATAACAGTTGTGTTTTTTGTCATTTAACGAAGAGACCATAAAAACACGCCCTACCAAATACATACACACATGAATACACTACAGTGTTTTAATATGGCCGTGTGCACTTTCCATCACGTGACTTGTAAACCACCAACCGTGCTGCACGATTACTTATAAACGTTGTGTCGTAATCACAGGAGTAGGTAGAAACATATTTTATTATTATTATTATTATTTTTTATTGCATAGATGGGTGGACGAGCTCACAACCCACCTGGAGTTAAGCGGTCACCTGAGCCTATAGACATTTACAACGTAAATGCCGCCACTCACCTTGAGATATGAGTTTGTTATGAGTTGAGATAATATGAGTGAGATATGATATTCAAATTCAAATTCAAAATCATTTATTTCAACTTAGATGTCAGTATAACACACTTGTTGAATGTCAAAATATAAATAACAATGTTAACTCTACCACCGGTTCCAAAAAGCCACAGTCCTGAGAAGAACCGGCGAAACAAACTCAGCGGGCTTTTTTTTTGTTTTTTAACGTTGAAAATTATTTTAAAAAACATAGACATTTGCAATAGTTGAATCTAGGTTAACAGTAAAAATACAAGCACAGCTACTTTTAAGATGGTATTGAGAATAAACGACTGCTCCTGCGCACACAATTTCAGAGGCTCAAGCTTTTGGAGCGTTATTTTATTTTTAAATTAGAAAAATAAAGAAAAAATATATTTAGTAAATGAAATCATTAAAATCGAAAACACGTTAAATTTTTTTTAAATGTGCCTCTCGATTATTGTGTAAAAAAGTCATTACATTTGACTTTTGAGAAACAACTGAATACGAACCGGTTTTGGGTCGATCTTACACAACGATACCGGCCGTTATAAAAGTACTGACATTACATAAACGTGAATCTGAGCTGGCACGAATCAAAGCAAGAACAAAAACAAAATGTCGAACAAAGCCATCTTTTCGAATAGGCAAGGAAAGCGCAGAGGTCGTTAACCTACGGCAAGCAGACATCACGACGTCGATACACCCATTGGCTGTGGCCTATTAAATTTCCATGGGCTGCATTACTGAATGCGATAATTACAACGTAAGTCATTCAATGTTGTGTTTTCTTTCCTTTTATTACAAAACCATGAAATGACGCGATTGGGTTGAAAAAAAATAATTAAATTCAATCTATAAAAAATTTACACAGATAAACAAAAATGCATTAAGTATTGTAATGTTTACGACGAATAAAGCTCTAAACAATAAATGAAAAATGAAAAAAATCATTGTTGACACTAGCCATGTGCACGTTACAAGCTCATTTGCTATTTACAAAAAAAAAAAGCTTTGAAACTCATTAAACTCAGTTCACTATTCCACAAATATTTGATGCCACGTCCGAGGCATTGGGCGGTTCCCCTGTCTATGAATGAGGTAATGATGACTAATTGACATTAAACATAGACACCGTATTAAGCATAACATTCAAATGCCCTTCTTGAAATTTTGGATCGATGTTTTAAACGGCAAATAAAATAGTTCTAAGATGTTTTTTTATTATGTAGTTTATGAAATGTTTATATGGGTAATCTATACTAATATATAAATTACAGTGGTTTTTACGAATGTTCCGTTATAACTACTGAACCATGCATCCGATTGACTTGAAAC